TACTTTGCAGATTTATGCCCTGTGGCTTCTATGCCCAGCATTTGTCTTGACGTATCTTTACCACTTGGAAGAATTATGATACTCGGTAATTTTCAATATGAGGCACGAATTCTACTAAAGGGCTGTAATTAGGAAGGAAGAAGAAAAGCTATAGAAGTAGCAGACGGAAGAAAACATGGGAGGATTGATTATTTCTTTGACATAACTTCTTGTAGAGTAACTTCAGCATGTATAGGTTTTAACAAACTAATTAAATTGTGCACATACACTAACAGAATAGGAACACAGATACATAACAAAAGCAGACCTACAATTACCAGCCATCTCCAGTGAAACCAAGAAAACCAGTTAGGCACCCTAGGCATTTGTCCTGCACCCAGACTTTTAAGCACAGTGGAGAAAACTACACTTCTGGGCAGACTGAATTCCCACCAAGCCACCTGACCCTTTGAAAATACCTGATAATTCTGTGTTTCCCTAGTCTTTGCCTCCCATTTACTGTTGGTTCTTGCCTCAAATCTCAAACACCTGGGTCTCCCTACTCATTATTTCCAGGAAAAACACAATTTCTAGCTGTGAACTCTGTTTCCTACTCATTCCTATAAATTTGACTTGTACTGGCACCTACCCGAGCCGTTTCCTCTGCTGTCAAAATATTTAGTGTTTCTCTCTCTCTCTCTCAGGCTCACCCACTTTCAGCTGCTGCCCCATGTCTTTCTTCCTTTGCACAGTGAAGCTCCTAGAAGTGTTATTTATGTTCTCTGCCTGCATTTCCTCACCCCCTCTCCCCCTCAGCTCACACTGTCACCCCAGTCTGGCTTCTGTACTCATCTCTTCATTCATTTCTGAAAGTTGGTTTTTTTTTTTATTAATTTCATCTTATGCTTCCTTTAAATGTATTTGTTACTCTAACTTCTTGATTTGGGGTGCTTAATTAATTTTTACCTGTTAAGTATTTAAGATCATGACTTTTCCCCTCTGCTTTATTTATACATCTTATAGAGTCTTACCTGTAGGATTTTTTTCTATAATTAAAAAATTTTGTTTTGGTTTCTGCATTAATCTAAGAGTGCTTAAGAGAAAATTTTGAAGATTTTGTGTGATAGTGTCCCTTTCTTTCTGGTATTGTAGTTAAGATCTATTCTATTGCATTGTGATCAGAGGTTTTTATATTATTTCTACTTTCAAGAAGTTTTATAATTTCTCTGTTTTATATGCAGTCAATATGGATAGCTTTAAATAAAGGTACACCTCTATTTTCTGATTATAGAATTCAATATATAAATTAACCAAAATTGCATTCTTAGATACATTTTATCTCTTCTCTATCCTTATTTAAGAAAACATGACCACAGCATCCGTGGCCTGTGCCCTTCCCTGGGTGCGTGAGGAAGTGGCAGGACCCCAGACTTGCCCCTGCTCTCAACGTGGTGCCAGAGCAGGAGTTCGCTTCATGGCCCAGAGCAGGCAGAGGGCGGCGGAGGGATTTCCCTCGCTCCTCGGTGGGGAATGGAAAGAGGGCAGAGAGAGAGCCAGGCAGGCCATGGCCGTGGGTAAAGGGGAAGTTGTGAGCCTTGTTAATCGGTGATCTTCAGCCAGACCATGCAGTGTGATCTCAGCAGGCGCCAGCAGCATGGGCCAGTGCCAGCCCCTGTGCCTGGCACCGAGGGACTGTCCCACCCCCGCCCCTGCTGAAGGAAGGAAGATTTGGTGAATTTTAATGGGGCTTGAAGAAGAAAGTCACTTCTGTTATAGAGCAAGTACTCTTCACCCACACACACACACTGAGATCTCCAGCTGAGATCTCTCTCTGGGTCCTAGAATTTATGTGGATAAGAGTTTTCAGCCTAAAGCTGAGCCCGGTCAAAACTAAGCCCATCTTTTCTCAGCTTTGCAGCCTCCTCCCCGCTCAACTAAAATGCACTCTGCCTCTTGTTGGAGGGGCTGTCTGATGCCGGAGGAGGGGACCGGAGAAGCAGATGGGAGGGGGTGAGTGTGACGAGGCCAATGGCTGGAGGACGAGGCTCAGGAAACCTCCTCAGTGGCTCCTCTGGCCTCCAGCCAAGTGTTGGGGGGCAGGCAGAGAGATGGGGCCTGAGCTCCATCAGGAAGGACCTGGGGGGTCGAGCGCTCACTCTGTCCTGCACAAGCTCTCTGCTTTCCACAGCACTGCTGAGATCCACGGTGCCTGAATGCCTGTCAGGTGGATCTTGAACCCACAGCCTACCTGGACTTCTTCAGGTTGGGCCAGAATCCCTTGGGTGATGAACCCCTCCGTTTCCTGCTAAAACAGTGCAATATCTTGTATAAATCAGGTGCTGGTCTCCATTAATCCCAGGATCAGGGTGGGGGTGGGCAAGGGCGGGTGGACAACTGAGAGGAACTTCGGACCCTCAGCATGTGGAACTGCCCGACAGGAAGGCAGCAGCTCTGCTCCGTACAGGGTGTGTGGTGGATGCCCCGGGGTTCCTGAGGTCAGGATTTTCTCCTCCACCAAGTCTAAGAGCTGTGGTCTTGATGGTCCCGAACGGGTCCGTCTTCTCCCTCTCACTGGCCAGAGGACCTGCGAGGGTGTCAGGAAGCCTAAGAAGCCTTTGCTCTTCACCTGATTCCCACTGTGGCCCCCGAAAGCGTCCTGAGTGAGTGGCCCTCAGGTTTGCCCCCCGGGGAGGAGAGGTGTAGGCCGGTCAGACCATTAAAATAAAATAACATATCTTTTCATGATTCACAGGAGGAGAAAACATAACCTAGTGGCTCAACCCATCTGCCACCCTCCCCTACACATAACATGAACGAATCCACAGGAACAAGAAAAGTGTAGCAACAATCCAGGAGCAAATGGGCAGGCGGGGTCCAGCCGCTGGTCCAGACCCCTGGGTCCAGCTAGTTTTCTCTCCTCCCTGCCTCCTAGCTTGCCTGGCAAGCCTCTTGCAGGGTCTGAATGCTCCTTTGGGGCTACTTTTGTCAACCCGGCCTGTCTCCGGCTGGAGAGGAGGTACGGGAGGAGGGGAGACCAAGGCTCTGTGAGGAGGCCCTCCATTCTCCCTTCAGCCCCCACATTGCTCAGCACATTTCCGGGAATACAGCTGGTGCTTGATAAATGTTTGCTGATCGATCTTTGGAATGTTATAGACAGTCTCAGGGGGTGCAGAGGGCACCTCAGCCAAGAGCATTTGACACAGGAAGCCTGTGTCCTCAGGCACATGCCTGGATGTCTTCTCTGAACACTTAGGTGAGTCGTAGACTTGTACGTAGGCGAGTGCTTCTCTACAAATCCCACCCCCCAGACAAGCTCTCCTGCCCCTGACCCCCCTCCCCTCCCAAAGGGATCCCTGCTCAGGGCCAGGGCCTGTGCTATATGGTGCCTCCGGCTGAGGTCACCCTGCAGTCGACATTTCCAAAGGGCCGACTCCACAGCTCCTCCCAGCAGGACAGAGCAGAGCCTTCGGGAAGAGCGGACCTCACAGCCACCCTCTGTCCCTGATGGTCTGGAATGTCCCTGTTCTAAAGCAGGCGTGGGCTCTGCACCCATCATGTGTCCGCTCCTCTCCACTGGGGGTCTTTTGAGGCGATTATTGCCGCCAACTCCCAGACAGAACCGTTAGGAGCTGGAAAGATGGCCGAAGATGCCAGACGCATTTGACTGCTTCCCGAGGGTGAAATGTGAGTGTGAGCTTGGGAGGAACAGGACGGGGTGTGGTTTGGGAGCCTCCGGGGTACCAGGAGGCTCGCTGAGCTTTGCGAATCGAGAGTTTTCCTGCGGCCCTTGCGGAAACGGTGAGGCAGATGGAGATGAAGAAGGACGTCAGTGGGGCCACAGGAGGAAGGAAGGAGAGATGTCAGTCCTGACAGACGCCCAAACGGGAAGACAGACACGGAGGGCTGGTGACACCCCCGGATCCAGAAAGGGCTGTCATGAAGCCTCCGTGGAAGGCCACAGTCTGAACCCAGCCGCTGTAGATGGCAGGGGCAGCCGGCAGGCACCCGTTCGGATGGGCCAGTGCCCTGCTCCACTTACAGCCTCCGGGGGCTCCAGACCTGTGCCTCTCCCTGGATCGTACGAGGTGGAGACGGAATTCGGGCCGCCTCACACAGGTGGAATGGAACTTCCTTACCTGGTGTTATTTTGGGGCCACAAGGCCCACTATCGTGCCTCCACTCCCCAGCATCACCTCCCTAGTTAGGTAGGATGCTTGAAGTCGTGCCTTAGATGCTTACCCCTTTTGCTTAAGACTATGGCTTTTAAAAAATATAGAACTGGAAAGAGTAAACGTTCCAGTGCTCCACGTTACCCATGTCTCCAGCCCCACATCAGCGGACAGGCATAGGTAAGGAGAGATGTGTCAGCGAGGAGCTTAGCCCATCAGTGAGCTCTAAAGGGGGGCAGTTCCTGGGGACGCAGGGAGTCAGCGGTAATGAAGGGCCTCACCGAAGCTGCCAGGCTTGCTTGCAGTCCTGCTCAGCTGATTCCAGGCAGACTTTCCATTGCTAGTTGCACCTGCTGGGTCGTGTTAAACACGGTCTCACAGGAAGACAGCGGGCCAGCTGGCAGCAGGGCTCTGCCAGGAGAGGGCCCGTGGGTGCAGAGAGCACTGGCCAGGGGTCAGCAGGTCCTAGGCTGACTGTCAACAGCCAGCTTCATGATCGCGTCTGTCTCTGGGACGCAGTTTCCTCATCTGTGAGACCCAGACCTGGAGTCTGTGTGGAAGGCAGAGAATGACCCGGAGTGGTGTGTGTATCACATGACAAACGTGGCCGGTGGGCATCCTCTCCCCTTCCCTCCACTCCAGAGCCCAGCGGGCTGAGCGGGAGGAGTGGCCGCAGACAGCCCTCCTGTGGTGCTCAGATGGGCCTCTGGGAAAGGGGCGCAGAGGCTGCGGCCCTGCCCTGGCTGGTGACTTGAGGCTGCCTGCCCCACCCTGAGGGCCTGCCCGAGACCTGACTCCAGCCCAGGGGCCATTGGGTGCTGAGCAGGGGCTTGGAGGCCAGCTTCTCCACGGCGGGGGTGGGGCAAGAGGGTCTCTACCCTGACCCTGGAGGGAAAGCCCTGCTTGTGCAGGAGACAGACTTTACCGGGGAGGCGCTAAAGGCTCGGTGGGTGGCCGAGACCTGCTTCCACCACCAGTTGGCCGAGGAGGGAATGTTCTTCCTCACGGCCGGGAGCGGGGCACAGGCAGGGCAGGACTTCCCACCCTCACCTGCCACCTCATTGGCTTCCCTCTCCATTTACTCCGTTACTCGGTTTTATTGAGAACCCTTACCAGCAAATGCTTTTAGAGGCTATTATACATGATTGCCAGGTAAACAGGGGTGTTTATTTCAGAGAGGTTTATAATACACTCCATTAACGGCCCAGGACCGGGGAAATGAATTGGACCAAATCAATCAAGCCGTGCCTCCCCTAGTTTTGAGGGCTCCTCAGCGATGTATGGAGTGGAAAGGGTAGCGCCCCTCATGATCTCCTGTTTTAGGCAATTAGCACAACTTCTGAGCTCATTCACCACCTCCGTCTTCCCTCCTGCATAAAAACTGCAGCCCAACCCCATGAAATGGAAAGAACACAAGCTTTCGTGTCAGGAGACATGGATTGTGACACTCGCTCTCTGCCTTACTGGCTCTTGCGACTTCACATGGATCATTAATAGCTCAGAGCCTCAGTTTCCCCATCTCCAAAATGGAAATAACAACAACCCAGGGTTGCTGTGCAACCACAAAGATACAATGTGAACATAGTTGGTAGATACACGTGTGCAATGTTGCACATATAAGCTCTGGCTGGCCTTGCCCATGAGTGTGATCAGCAGTTCTAAGGAGAGCTGGAGATGTTTTCCCTCTTTGTCCACTTAATCCATTTCACCCCAGACAGGGATCGGGATGGGCACTTGGGAAGGACTTTCCGAAGGAAGGAGCAGCCACTCGGTGGGCTCTGTAGGGTGACCAGGAGTAAGGTAGGGGAAGGAACGGGAATGGGGCCAGGGTTGAGGAGCAGGAATTCCCAGCAGCATGTACCAAGACCCAGAGGGGAAATCACATACTGTGTTTGGTGAACTTCTGAAAAAAAATGGAAGACACACAGGCACAAAGGTTGGGGCCCCATCCCTGGATGGCACTGTTATCACATTGGGGACCTGGCGTAGTAGAACAGGTGTTTCAAGTGGGCAGAGGCACGCCGAAGTGGCAACGGTTGGTGGGAGGTGGGAAAGCAAATAATCTCTTCATTCAACAAATATTTGTCGAGTGCCTCCATAGAGCTGCACTGTGCTGGGTGAGAACCTTTGTTCAGGGCTACACTAAACGCTGTTGCGACTTCGAAGCCCTGGATCAGTTTCTATCATGTGTATATTCTTGTGTCTCTGTGTGTGGGGGGGTACATGCACATGTGTGTGTGAGTGTGCAGGTTCGTGCACGAGTGTGTGTGTGGGCAATGCATGTGTATGAGTGGGTATGGGCACGAATGTATGAGTGTGCTGGTATGTGCACATGTGTGCAAGCACACTCTGTCAGCAGAGGACGGGTCAGGGTTGCTCAGGAGCCACCACCTGAGGAGTAGGTGAGGCTGACCCCCAAAGGCTGGGATCAGACCAGGACTGAGCCACCCGGAGACGCTTACCATGGCCGGGCCCAGAGGCCGAGTGCTGGCAGCCCACCCGCGGAGAGCTCGGTGTGCCCTGGCGTGCCCGGCTGGGAAGCTGCCCTGTCCTGGGCCGGGCAGGGGAGCATAAGGAAAGAGTGAAGCGGGCAGCTACGAGGAGGGTGTCCGGGGCACCTGCTCTTGGCAGGACTGAGCTGCCCATGCTCTGCCCTGCGCAGGTGCGCAGCCTGCCCAGGTTCTTCTGGGGTCCTGGGGTAGTTCACGGGCATTCACATCGGGGAGCCGCTGTCTCCACGTGATTGTCACATCAGCTCGAACACATGCGGGACGGCCCTGAGTCGGAGCTGTGCTCGGCTTCGTGGGGGATGAGAGACGCCAATATGGGCAACACATCACTAGGACCAGAGAGGGTTTACGATTCGCTGAAGTAACATGAACTCACTGAGAGGGCCTGGGGGGCTCCTGCAAAGCCGACTGTGCTGGGGAGGAGACCTGGTGGAGGCACAGAGAGAGGGGTTTATTCCTGCTCAGGAACCCAGGAAGACTTCATGGAGGAAGGGGCAGCTAAGATGAGTTAAGAAGGTGGAAGATGTTGGAAAGGCATTCCCACAGGGCAAATAATAGTGTTAAGTACACGGCCTTGGGAAGGCCTGGGTGAACGGCAAGACGCTTCCGTGGCCTAGATGGTGTGTTCCCGGTGGGAGAGCAGAGGGCTTCAGGCTAGGAGGGCGGCGCTGGCGCTGGGGTCTGCGAGCCTCTTCAGGGGCAGCCAGTGCCCATCGGTGACTCTGGTCAGCACCGCCACCTGCCAGGCACTGGGGTGCGGGAGTACGTGGGGCCCACTCCTGCCCTCGCCGGCTTCCCAGGCAGTCGTGGCCGCAGTTTCCACAGAAGGAGACGCCTAATTTGGGGAGATGAGAGGGTGTCACAACGTGTTCTGTTTAAAGTGAGCCTTGAACTAAGTCCCGGGTTGCCAAGCAGACAGTGAGGGGCAGGTGAAGGAGTTCTGGGGTGTGGGAGGCATCTCAGGGGAAAGGGGCAGCTCTGCCGAGCAGGGAACCCATAGGGGAACTGGCTGGGCCCCGTTCCGCACTCGGGGTGCAGCGAACCCTCCGCCAGGCCCCGGTCCACTCCACGCGAACGAGGGAGGCAGGGAAGGGCAGACCGAGGGTGAGGGGCCCGGGACGGAGCTAACAGGGCGGCCGGGCCGGCTCACTGCGGGCCTCTGAGCGGGAGCCGAGCGCGCCTCTCGCCGCGGAACCCCCAGGCACAACAGGGGCTGCTGCCCGCCGCCCGGCCGCAGGCCTCCGCCCCTTGCCCCTTGCGCCCCAGAGGACGGGGCCGGCGCTCAGCCTCCAGGGCAACGGCAGTGGGTGGCGCAGGGGCGCGTCCTGGGGGCGGCCGGCCCGCGACTGTCTCGGCGGAGCCTGCGGGTGGCCCCGCGCCGTCCGGCCCCGGTGTGCGGTTTCCCTTGTCCGCCACCCTCTGGGCGCAAGGGGGCAGCCGAGCCTCGAGCTGGGCCGGCCGCGGGGCGCTCTTCCCCGTCCCGGCTCGGCGGGCCTGCGCCTGGGCCCGGCCCTCCGGGCGGGGGAGGCGGGCGGGGAGGGCCGCCGCCGGTACCCGGCACCGGCGCCCGGCCTGCAGGCCTGCTCTCAGCCTGTGTAACATGCACGGCCCCCCCAGCAGAAGCCGAGGCCCGGGAAGGCTGCCCCGCCTCTGTCTGCCCCGCGGCCTGGCTGGACACCCGCCCTTGAGAGCCTGGACGTCCCTTGGAGGGCAGAACCCCGGAGCGGGGGCGGCGGGCCGGGGCGCGGCCGGGGCAGAGTGAGCCCACAGCCCCCGTTGGGCAGCGGTAAGGCCCAGTGCCGGCGCCGGGGGTGCAGAAGGGAATCGGATTCAGCGCCTCCAAATAGTTCCCCATGAGGACGCGAATGGCTGTTGCAACCGCGTGCGGTGAGTTCAGGGAGAGACGGGCGAGGCCTGGGGGGCACGGAAGGGGAGCATCAACCAAGACTTGGGGTGGAGGGAGGCCCGAGAAGGCTTCCTGGAAGTAATGCCCAGGGTGAGTCTCAAGGATCAGAGGGTTTTAGCCACAGGCGAGGGGAGGGGCCGTTCGGGCCCGGAACTGCGCGCGGGAGACGCAGTCAGAAACACTGGGGGAGGGGTGGGGTGGGGGGTAAGGGGGGGTGAGGAAGTGGGAAGGGGTTGGGCGGGGAGGGAGAAATCAACGCCGCCTAGATTATGCAAACAATATACAAATCAGGAACAGGAGAAAGAGCAAAGAAAAAGAGAAGCAAGGAAATGATTTAGAAATGGCCCGGGGAGGTACCCCGAGAGTTAGCAAACATTCTGTGGCAGATTGTGTAACCCCTCACCAGTTTCCGTGCCCTCTCCGCACACAGCCAGGCCCCATTTCTCAGCCCCCTGGCCTCGGGCCCCGCGACTGAGTCCTGGTTAAGGAAGGAGAAGGGATCAGGTACAGCCCCCTGTCGCCCCGGCTGCCCTGGGGGCTCGCTCCTGCCTCCCCTGCTGGCTGGGCGCAGCGAATCCTCTAGGCTCTAGGAGAGGACAGAGCGATGCCACAGACGCCTGACCGCCTGGAGCAGCGCCCATTCTCTGACTTCTTCCCACATTGCACTGGGGCATGGACACGAAGTCCCCATTTATTTTCTAAGCTGCTGAGATTCGGGGTTTGTATATCACTTAGCGTACCTTACTGGCAGGCATGTTTAGATGGGCTCAACTGATCGGAGCAAGGCAAAATTTTAAACGTGTGCAACTTCATTTAGTAGCGACCTACCCCATGTGCTGCTGGTGGGGACGGAGAATGGAATAGCCTTGCTGGCGGCAATCTGGTGGTTCTTACTGAAACTAAGTATGTGGATATTTTACGACCCGGCATTTCTGTTCCTGGGAATATACCCTGTGGAAATTCTCGCACACGCCTATACAGGGGAGACCTGGATACCTACAGAAACGTTGTTGGGGAATTAGAGGCAATCAGGGGATCCATCACGAGGCGGGGGAGTAGATACAGAAATGAGGGGGAGGCAAGGAGTAACGGACCGCTGGACACACGCAATGTGAACGGGCTTTAACGACCCAGCGAGAATGACGTAAATAGAAATATATGCATATGAAACAACGGTACATATTTTACAAAAATACACATAGAGAAACATCACACACCTCAGAAGTATTACCAGTGAGAGTGGAAATTGCAAGGAAAAACAATGGAACTGAATGGATGGATTCAGTTCCACTATACACTTTCTTCTGACAAGAGACCGAAGAGTGACAATCACAGGTTTTTACTTCTGAGGTTTGGCTTCCTTTGCAGAGTCTGATTTCTACAAGGTTATTATATCTCTCTTGAATTTTTAAAAACGCCCATGTTCAGCCTTCACTCCTCTTTCCCAGTTTCATTAACATTCCCTTTTAATTGCCTGACCTCATGCTTTTTTAAAAACTAAACAAAACACCCAACAGAAAAAGAGAATTACAAGATCCAACCTTAGTGCAAACAGCTTTACTCAGAACATGAAACGATTTGCTTTTTACGTATATTATAAATAAAGGGAGAAAAGACTGAAATACATCATCCCTATATTTGTATAGCATTATTAGTGACAGACAGGTGTCCTAAATATGTATGCGTGCGTATACATACATATATGTGTCACATCACGACAGTAATAAGTAGGAAGCAAAGAAAGAAGTCAGTGGAACGGTGAGGATAGCTGTAAATCGGATCTTAGTAAGCACTGTAAGTGAGCGTAGGCCAAAGGAACGTCCCAGCAAGGAGGGAAGGAAACAAAACGATCCACACAGCGCAGAAGCGACCCAAGGGCTCAGCATTCGGGTGTTGTGGAAGCTCCAGCCTGATTTGCGGGCTCACTGAGATTTCGGCTTTATGTCTGTCGGGCACACGCTGATTTCCAGCAAGCTGGCCACCAGTCACATCAAAGCCACTGGGCCCTGGCTCTGCCAAAGGCCTCAAATGCCATCTCTGCAGTTCACGGACCATGCAATGGGGGTGGGCTGGGGGCGGACACCTTTTGGCTGAATTATGAAATCGGTCCAGGCTGAGGCTCAGGAATCTCCCTTTCCAAGTAGCCTTTAACCACCGTCCCTTCTCCCCAGTCACTTTTCTTCCTTTAGCCGAGCAGCTCATCACCTTATCCCCTTCCTCTTCTTCTCCTCTTTGGCATCCTTTTCAAAGCTTTCGGAAACCTGGACCATGGATTCAGTGTGCGACAATTAATAAAAGGAAGCCTTATTTTAAGTGGAATGGGGCAGCCAAAGGAAGAGCTCTCACACCCTATCCCTCCCCATAGATTGCAGTCCCCATCAGGAAGGGACAGGCCCTGCTAGTTGACCCTACTTTACACCCGCGGCAGGAGGAAGAAAGGTTTTCTCCTTGCCTGGCAACAGCCCAGCCAGTGAGAGACTGTCCCAGCTCAGCCAATGAGAAGGCACGACACTTCCAAGCTCCCAGTTTACCCCAATGGACTTTTTGTTTATAACAGCCTCTTTCCTCTACCAGAGAACCTTCCTCTAGTTTTACCTTAGCTGGCATGTCCTGAGTTGCCATTCCCTGCTATTCTTGAATAAGCCCATTTTTACTGGTAAAATAACTGACACTTGTATTTTTAAGGTTAGCAGTGGCTAGTTTAAAGTTTGGAGACTTGTGAGTATAGATAAGCACATAACTAGATAACTGGACTTTCTGGATGTAACTGGGTGATGGTGGGTTTCCAACCCAAAGCTCTGCGAGGGTGTGCTCTGCCAGAACCCCGCGTGCACAGAGGGCCTGGTGGGACAGCCTCCTTTCCTCCCTCCGGTAGCCGGACTCGTCGAGAGAAGCTGAGAGGCTGTGGGTCCAGGAAAGGGCTCCCCGCCTCCCTGCAATTAAGGCTCAGACCACCCCTGGACCCACCGTATGTGTCCATTAAAATCTACAGCAAGCCCTCTGAAAGCCCGTCAGATTCGATGAGTTGCAGTTTTGCTTGCAATTTTGTTTATTTATTAATAGTTATCAAGCACGTGAAAGTCTCTGAAATTGCTGGCTCCTCCCACGCCAGGAGCAGCTTTATTCGGCTCTATTTGTATTCTGACCTGGGGGCTCTTGCACCTGGCCTCAGGTCCGGTTTGAGCAGAGACCCAAGAAGAGGCTGGCGGACGTGTTTCACGGGCGGAGGCCATGGGCAGGCAGGCGCCTGGTGGCAGCGCTGTCCCCTAGAGAGGCAGAAGGCATGGAGGTGGGAGGAGAGGGCACTGCCCGGCAGAGATCCGGGGGCCTCTGATCTAGAGCATGCCTGCATGCCTGAGGCACAGAGGGACCGTCCCCAGGATCGGGAAGAGAAGCTTGGAGGGAAGCTGGGGTGGCAGTTTCTGGGAAGTTCCTGCCGTCCTTGCCCCATTTTTGTTGAGGTCATCTTTTATCCCTTAGTGTCCTTGAGTGATGTAAGCCCATTAGGTTAAACTGGGTAAAAAGAAACATGCTGTGGCCTGTGTCACCGAGGAGATTTAGGAAAACCTGCATGACCGAGCTCTCTTGATCTGTAAACCTGTGCTTGTTCCGCAGATGGCGTGTAGACAGGCAGGATGTGTTTTTAAATGGTGAGGTTTATCATGTATATAGAAATGTTCATGCAGCATTTACAGACAGAGCAAAGGTTATTATAAAATGAACACCTACATACTATAAAGTATCTAAGGTATTATATATAATAATATATGTAGTAATGAATATAACAATAATAATATACATCCCCAAGTTCGGAACCAGAACGCCCAGGACCTTGGAAGCACTCCGTTCTGCCTGAGCGCGGCTCCAGCGCCCCCAGAGGCAATCACCGTCCTGACATCTCAGGTCATCATCTCATTGTTTCTTCTTTAGTTTATGCATCACTTGGTGCTACTGTCTGCTTTTGAACTTCATACAAATGGAATAGAAATGTAGGTCTTCTTTCTGACAAACATCTTGCCTTTCTGGCACTTGGAGAGTCTCCGGTTGCCCATCACTGTGTCTGATGTATTCTCACCACTGTGCACGCCGGCTGATTCATTCTGTTGCTAGACATTCACTTGGCTCTAGTTGGGGCTATTTTAAACTGCGGCTGAGAACATTCACGTGCATGTGCCAGATTTCCTCCAGGTTTGCCCGGCCGTGCACAACTGTTGGGCACCGGGAATACACAAACAGAGCTCTGCCAGCTAATGCCAGCCTGTTTCCCCAAAGCCATACCGATTTATACACCTACTAGAAATACGTGAGAATATCTGTGACCAAGGTCCTTGACGCAGAAGTCCTGTTGCCAGCCTGATGGCTGTGTCACAGCATGTCATTGCGGCTGAACTGGCATTTTACTGACGAGTTTCAGCATTTTTTCATAGGCTTATTGGCCGTTTGGATTTCCTTTCTTATAAAGGGACCGTGCGAGTCTTCTGTGTCCTTCATTTTGATTTTGACTCACAGAAGCTCTTTATAAATCTGGGTCCTAGTCCTTTGTCAGTTTTATGTGTGGTGGTACCTTTTCCCACTCTGCAGCTTGTCTCTTCAATCTCTGTAAACGTGTCTTTAGTTGAATAGCTTTTCTTAATTGTAATATACTCAAATTTATAAATCTTTCATTTATGATGAAAAGCTTCTGTATCTAGTTTGAGAAATCCTCTCTATGCCAAGGCCATGAAGATATTCTTCTATATCACCTTCTAAATCCTTAGAGTTTTGCCCTCCATATATATGTTTTTAATCCACTTGAATTAATTTTTGCATGTAGTGTGAAGAGAGCTTGTAAGCCCAGTTTCTCCCCTGTGGGTACTCAATTATCTATTTGTTGAAAAGTCTGTCTTCTCCCCCCGACCTGAGATGTCACCTCTGTTGCTTACCAAGTGTTCATAAAGGTTATGGGTCCATTTAGGGGCGCTTACTCTGTTTGTCAACCCTTGTATTGATACCATGTGGTCTTAATTACTGTAGCTTTATAAGAAGTGTTGTATCTGGTAGAGCAAATCCTCCCACCTTATTTTTCTTCAAGAGTAGCTACTCTTGGCCCTTCACACTGTCATATAAATTTTAGAGTTGGCTTGTCAAGTGCCAACAAAAACCTATTAGGATTTTAATTGGGATTTTACTGAGTCTATAAATCAATTTGGAGAGCAATGACATCTTTACAATATTGGACCCTCCAATCTATGAAGTGGTATATTTCTCAAATTATTTAGGTCTTCTTTAATGTCTTTCAATAAAATTTTACAATTTTGTCCATTAATGTCTTATACATATTTTGTTGGATTTATTCCTAGGTGCTTCACATTTTTTAAATGCCATTGTGAATGGACTCTGTTTCAAAATGGCTTTGATAACTCTTGCTGGCTAGAAATGAACTTAATTTTTTATATTGATTTCATATCTAAGAATTTTGTTAAACTCTTGTGTTCATTCTAGTAATTGATTTGTACTTTACTTTTTATTTTCTCTCTGTTATCATTATCTGCTTATAATAATAGTTTAATCTTTTTTCTTTCCAATCCTTACAGCTTTTACTTCTTTTTCTTATCTGCTCTGCCATCCAAGACCCCTCCTAGAATGTTGAATAAAATTGGTCATCATTAGCATTCGCCTCTGTTCTCAGGTAGAAAAAAAGGGAATGCTTTTTTAAATGAGTCACCAAGTATGATGTTTGTTGAAGTTTTTGTAGATAATCTTTACTATGTTAAGGAAGTTCCATTCTATTGTCAGTTTGCCAAGAGTGATTTTTATTGTGAATGGGTGTTGAATTTGAGCTTTTTTCCTCTGTTGAACAAATCAGAAGGTATTTCTCCTCTAATATGTGAATGTGATGATTTGCATTGATTTTTTTTTTATTTTGGTATCATTAATCTGCATTAATTGATTTTTAAATGTGAAATCACCTTGTATGCCTGGGATAAACCCTCCTGCATAAGAGTGTAGCTACTAAATGAATGGATTCTTAAGTTAGATGGCTTATATCTGAAACCTGGCTGTATACTACTCGGTAGCTGTGTGACTGGGCAATTCACTTGACCTCTCTGTGCCTCAGTTTCCTCATAAGCTGAAATGGGGGTGATAATAATACCTAACTCACAGAATTATTGTAAGGTTTAGTGATACCTCCAAAACGTGTAACCCAGTGCCTAGAACATAGTAAGTGCCATATGTGTAAGTATTTGCTATTTCATTAAATAGACAATAATTTGTTTAAGAGTTTTGTACTTGTGTTCATGAGTAATTTTAGCTTACAACTTTTCTTCCTCATAAATAACCTTGGTATGAGGGTTTGGCTGAACTTATAAAATTAGTTGAGCGGTGTTGTCTTGTTTTCTATTTTATGAGAGAGTTTGTGTAGGATTAGAATCATTGATTCCTTGAATACACGCTGGAACTGACTTGTGGAGCCAGGTGCCCTGAAGGTTCGTGTGGGAACAATTTTCTATTGAAGTTCTCTGATCATTACAGGTCAAATCAGGTTTTGTATGCATTATATATTTACTTAGGAACTTACAATTCTAAATTTTCTATATATTGGCATAAAGTTATTTGTCATAGTTTGTGATCTTCTAGATGCCCGTAGAACTGCCATGATGCCCCCATTTTCATTCTTGACATGGGTACCTGTGCCTACTCTCTTTTTTTTCCTAGATCATTCAAACCAGATATTTGCTAATTATATCAGTCTTTTCAGAGAGCCAACTCCTGGGCCTTGCTGGTATCTTAATGTAGCTTAGCTTTTTATTTCAGTGGCTTCTGTTCTGTATCATTATTTTTTTTCTCCTTCTATTTGGTGTTCTTTTCCTTAAGCTCATTAGATTTCAGTCTTTCTTCTGGGCCTTCCTTGACTTACAATGGGGTTACATCTCAATATACGTCATAAGTTGAAAATATCTTAGGTGGAAAATGCATGTAGTACACCTAACCTACTGAACATCACAGCCCAGCCAAGCCCAGCCCACCTGAAGCATGCTCAGAACATGTATGTGAGCCCACAGTTGGGTAATATCCTCTAACACAAAGCCTATTTTATAGTAAAGTATTGACTATCCTGTGTCACTGATTGAATACTGCACTGAAAGTGAAAAACAGAATGGTCCTGTGGGGACAGAACATCTCTAAGTGTCTGAGCTGTTTGCCCGGATCCTCATGGGCCAGATCCTCATGACCACATGGCAGACTGGGAGCTGTGGCCCGCTGCCCTGCCCAGCCTGGCATCACATGAGAGAGGAGCATCTGGTGTATCACTCGCTGGGGAAAAGATCACAATTCAAAGCATGGTTTCTACTGAAAGCACATTGTTTTTCCATCATAACAAAGTAAAAAAATAAACAACCATCAAAAGTCAGAGACTGCCTGTAATATACACATTTGAGGAATGGAGTTCCCTCTAAAGACTTTGTTAACTTTACAAATTTTGGTATACAGTGTTTTTATTACTACTGAGTTCAAAATATTTCATCATTTCCATTATGATTTCTTTTTTGAACCATGAGGTTTTTTTTTTATTCTTGCATTTCTTAATTTCCAAACAAATAAGGGTGTTCTAGCTATCTTTTTATTTTTTACTTTTAACTTAAATGCATTGGTCAAAGAATATACTTTATATCATTTTGGTCCTTTGAAATATGTTGAGGCTTGCTTTATGAGTTTTATACAGTAATTTTTAATAGCCTGTGTATTCTTGAAGTGAATGTGTAGGTGTAGGATGCTGTATTTTTTATCTATCCATTAAGTCAAGTTGATTAACCCTGCTGCTCAGGTGTTACACATCTTTCGTGATGTTTTCATCTGTTTTTAATGCTCCATCAATTACCTTCTTATCTTATACCCTGTATTTGTCCAGGCAGGTCTATATTTCTTTTTCTCTAGGTCCTTCTGTTCTTCTGAATTGATATTTTTTTGACATTGCATTTTCTCTCCTTTACTAATTTAGAGTTAGTACAGGTTGACTGTACTGTTTTTGTGGCATCTAAAATTCAAGTGTATTTTGCTTTGGATCCTAGAAGCACCAGTGGGGGAATGGAAGAGTGAGTCCCAGAAAGAAAGGAAGCCAGAGGAGGCTCCATTAATGAACTAGTTCCTGCTGTGGGCAGCCAGGGCCCAGTCCTGCTGGGCTCCTCTGGCAGAGCGGGTTTTAGCATTCTACCCCAAGAGCAAGGAGGGGATGTCTTTTCAGCTCTAAGCTCTGTCATGGTGTGAGGGCCTGAGGACCGCTGCTTGAACTCTACGGCTTTTCTGGCCTGCTCTGTGTGCACGGTGAACATACTCCTCCAACCAGAGAGAACCGTGAGGCAGCCTCGGGTGCCTGCGCAGAAAAATGTTGATAGGCATGGCCTGGGCTTCGCACACTGTCATCTGCTTAGAATTACAATATGCATAGTTAACTTCCCCAAATCTGAGATAATCAGTACTTTTACTCCTGGACGATACAAAGATCTAGAACACTTCACCTCCATGTATTCGCCTTCCCCGGAAATTTATAGGCCATTGCTATTGTGTATTTTAATTCCACCCTGCTTATCTTACATATGGTATTAATTCCTCATGTGTCCACTAGAATCACCCACCAGTCAGCCTCCTTAATTGTTTTCCACTCTTCCTTGCCTTTCAGCCCTGCCATCTGCTGTCACATGCCTTTTATCTGCAGTGTGTTATTTAGGATTTCCATTAGAAAGAACTACGTGGCAAACATCCATTTTTGTCTGAAAATGTCCTTTTTTTGTCCCAGTTCTTGAAAGACTTTTTGTTGCTTACACAATTCTAAGTCAATGGGCGCTTTATTGTGGCCCACTGACAATTCTGTTTTCTTGTCTTCTGACTCTATTGCCTTGCAAAGTCAGTTCTCAGCAAAATTGTCTCTTTTTGAAGGTAATCCGTGTTTTTTCTCTGGATATTTTCACCATCTCTTGTCTTTGACATTCTCTGGATGTTTTCAACATCTCATTGTCTTTGGTGTTCTGCAGTTTTATCAATAAAATGTCTACGAGTGGATTGCTTTTTGCACGTCTTGCTTGGGAGTCAGTGGACATCTAAATGGAGTGCTTCACAGGGCTGTCCCGGGTTCGAGCTTTGGATTTTTCCATGTGCTCTATTTCCAGGGCAGACAGGGGGCGCCGGAAGTGCAGTGCCGTGGCAGCTACGCCTCAGAAACTCGCAAAGACATCCTGGCTGGATTTTACACCCTTCAAGCCTGTGATTTGATTCTTGAAGATCCAGCACTTGCAGTGATCTGAGACAATCTGGCTGCTCCATCTACAGTCCTGCAACGGGCAGTCTGAACACCACACAGACCTCCTTTACCACCACCTCCCTCCCCAGCCCTGCCACCTGCTGGGAAGCATCAGTGACGGACCCAGCTGGGACCAGGCAGATTATCTCTCTAAGGAATCTGGATTTGGACCATGCAGACTGATCCAGCCAGCAGTGAGGAGATGACTTAGAAGACGGTCAATTCGAGCGCAGAGGCCACTGTTTGGAATGGCCGGAGTGGAGCCATGGCAAGTGGATGATGAAGGTGCGGCCTGTTTCGAGAGAGTAGAGGCCCCCGGCCCTCCGGAAACAGGCAAAAGGGAAAGTTATATGTATATACGTACACATAAAAGTTTATATGTATGTATATGTATGTACAAAATTATGTATATATCTATACACATATACATATATGTATAGATATATACATAGAGAGAGAGAGAGAGAGAGGGAAAACAGCGCCTAATGATGTTTTGGTTCACAAGACCCAGTTAAATGCTCTTCATTTTGTTTCCATTATATTCTCCTGTTACTAATTCCCTTTTAACCTGAGCTTCTTTGAGTGAGTCTCTGTGTCTTATAACCAGATGGGCCCTTGCTAAGTCATCCCCCACCAAATGCCGGGCCCTCACTCTGACTGCATTTGGTGCAATATGACAGTAGTAAACTCGTCAGCCAGTGTTTTGAGCACCTGCTAGGTGGGCCATCCTGTGATGTGAGGAGATATAAATAATGGCACCACAAAACAAGTGCTTATCTGGGCGCAGGAATCAAAGGGCAGCGTGAGCTCAGAAAGGGGAATTTAAGAAATTCTTAAAGGAAGCCAAGGGCTTGAAGTCCACTTTGAGGGAACTGTCAGGATTTGGGTGGACAGAGGCTCAGTGGGGGGGCTGGGGAGGACATGCCTGCCGGACCCTGAGAAGTGGCAGTCGGCGGTGAGGGCAATGCAGCTGCAGGGGACTGTGGGAGGCTGTGCAGGGCGCAAGGATGGCGTTGGCAGAGGCTTCGGAAAAAGCCTCACCCAGATTTTTAAAATAGCTCTATTACCCTCTGTCCAGAATTCATCTGAAATGAGTCTCCAGCCAACATTCTTTAGCTCTGAATGCACTTTCTATCCTCATTTTCACTCTCCTTTCTTTTCTTTTTGCTTAACATGTTTAAATGTAAACCACTCCTTGGCAGCCCCTTCCTGAAGGAGTCTCTGTGAGCAGGGGAACACTAGTGCCTGTGGTGGAGGCCCTGCCCCTCCAGCTCAGTGGCTAAGTTAGGCAACTTCCCGGACGAGCCTGGGCACACCCTCCTGTGTGTAATCCCTGCAGCTGAACCTCACCTCTTGGCAGGAAATCACGACTCATGGCCCTTCCCCTAAGCTTTCTTAACTGGGAATTTCATCACTTCCCAGAACAGCCAGCATACTTTCAATTTCTCTCAGTTACTGTTTGACCAAACATCTGTGTCTAAGGGGTGGGCCTAACCAACCAAAATAAAATCGATTGCCTGAGACTCAAGACAACTTCTGCAGGTGACTCCCTGGTGCCTGAGAGCGAACAGAGGAGGACTGGACGCAGGAGTGAGACACCATGGAGTCCAGCTTCACCTCCAAGGACACCTACCCGACCCATTTTAACCCTCGGGTTTACCTAGAAAAATACTACAGCTTTGGGTCCAAACACACCGCAGAAAGTGAGATTCTTAAGAATGTTCTGAAAAACCTTTTCAAGATATTCTGCAGAGGTACGTTTGTCTGTTATCTGTGTGTGTGTGTCCCTCCCTGCAAAACGTGAGTGTGTCTCAGTGCCCGGCTAGTCATTGTCGTTTGGCAGCCCTTCATATTTAACTGGGCAGAAAACTGTCATTGGGATGGATACGTTGCAGGTTACAAAGTGCTTTTACACCCATTATCTGATTTGATCGTGTAGATAGGAACCAGACAGGGGTTCTGTGCTTGATTCTATGCCCTTTTGCAAGGGGACCTGATGGGCTACTTCAGAGATGGAGATGGTTATTCTGTTGCTAACATGAAAGAATGTTGTGAATATGCACGGGGCAAAGGCCTCCCAATATGTGAAAAACTGGATGTTTTCTGGAGAAAGACATCATGTGACTCAGTTTTTTTTAAATGTTAACTTTCCTCCAAAGTATTCCTTAATAGCTTTTACAGTCTCTGTGTTGGAGTCTCTCTGAGTCAGGAGTCTATACACCAGATGTAGATCTTTCTTTTCTTCTCCTAGACCCAAAGATATCCCAGCAGCCTGCCTCCTCCCTGGATGGCAGAATGAGAAATGAAAAGATGTGTGTAAGAAAGACTTTGAGGGAAGAGGAGAGACGGGAGGGCTTTAGGGCTCTCTGGCACGATGCCAGTGGGAATAATGCAAACCAGCTGTGTCCCCCTGCAGTGACACCTGACCCCCTCCCTCCTTCCCTCCTCTGAACCAGATGGCATGAAGGGGGACCTCCTGATCGACATCGGCTCTGGCCCCACCATCTACCAGCTCCTCTCTGCTTGTGAATCCTTCAAGGAGATCATTGTCAGTGACTACAGCGAGCGCAACCTGCAGGAGCTGGAGAAGTGGCTGAAGAAGGAGCCGGGGGCCTTCGACTGGTCCCCAGTGGTGGCCTACGTGTGTGAGCTTGAAGGGAACAGGTAGGGAGACGGGGGTCTGCTTCCTGGCTTTCTGAGAGTTACCTGAGTGACAGTTCATTTTTCTGAACCAAGAATGATTCCTGGAGTCCAAGTTGAAAAGCAAAGGATACAGAGAGAGCAAAGAGAAATTCAAACGGGGGGATGAGAGAGCATGAGACAGAGGCGTGCAAGCATCGGTGTGGGTGTGTGGTGCACAGGAAGGGACACACAGAGATGTCAGGCCTGTGTGGGGAGGGGGGACTGTGCTGGTCAGATGTCATAGCCCATCGTTTTAGGGCATCTTTAAGTAAGAGGATAAACCAGCTCCCCACCAGCTGCTTTTGGGCTTCAGGGCTGGTCCCCCGCACCCCCGCCACACCCTGGGCCATCCCGATGCCAGCCACCCAGGGGCATGGGACCTGCTGTGAGGGTGGGAACGCTGACACCCTCAGCTCCAACGAAAGCTGACTAGGTTTTGTAACTGACATTAGCAGCATAAAGGGATTATTGGAAAAGAATTTTACTCACCATCCATAAAATCAGAGCTTTACCTACTCACAGCTAATAATTGAAATCTTACACTACCCTCCCTACCAATAAATTTACTCAGACTAATCTTGTTGAATTATTAATTTCTCCCCATATGAGAAATTGGCAATAGTCTCCTAACCAGAGGTGACCGGTTCTGCATTTCACTTTCTCTGTCTCGTCCTGATGGGGCTGCTCCTTCTGCCCGTCCGTCGTCCTACGACGCAGCCCAGGCCCCCTCTCCTGCCCAGAGACCTCAGCTCCTGCAGCGCAAGGTGTTTGCTGTCACGCGCACGGAGACCCCGCAGCCGCTGGTGCAAACTGCATACCATGAGCACGTGCTTGCGTATTTCTCCTGGGACCCTGCTGGCCCTGGCTGCTACTTCTTATATGCTCAGCTATACTTAACTCTCTTTGTTCCACCTGTTATTATGGGGTTTTTTTGTTTTTATTTTTGTACGTCTTTCCTGTCTGTCCCCCCAGCCCACCTATGGTTTAATTTTCACATGAACGCTCCCCCTACCCAGCCCCCTTTTTCCTTTGTCGGCCCCCTTGTGCTCATTGCTGCACCCTGTGTGTCTCACAACATCCTGCATTTTCCTTTTCTTGTCTTTTTGCTCACAATGGGAAAACAAATATTTCAAAATATTTTTTTCATTATTTCTTTTAATTTACTTTTTTATTGAACTATAGTTGATATACAATATTATACTGGTTTCAAGTGCACACGTAGTGATTTGATAGTTATCCACATTATTAAATGCTCACCCCAATTAGTGTGGTTACTATCTGTCAACATAGAAGGATGTTACAGAATCATCTACTATATTCTCTATCTGTACCCTCACCCCCATGACTAATTTATACTACTATTGAGATTCTGTGCCTCTTTATCCCCTTCACTTATTTCACATACCCTCCCCAACCTGATAGGGTGACCGTCGGTCACTTCTTGGTGTCTATGAGTCTATTTCTGAAAAACATACATATTTTTTTTATTAAGGTATAATTGATATACACTCTCCCATCTCTCCCCTTTGGTGACTGCTAAGGCCCTTCTTGGAGTCTGTGAGTCTGCTGCTGTTTTGTTCCTTCAGTTTTGCTTCATTGTTATACTCCACAAATGAGGGCAATCATTTGGTACTTGTCTTTCTCCACCTGGCGTATTTCACCAAGCATAATATCCTCCAGCTCCATCCGTGTTGTTGCAAATGGTAGGATTTGTTTCTTGCTTATGGCTGAATAGTATTCCATTGTTGGAAAACATACATATTTTTAATAAACATATCGCATGATTTGGATGGGAAACAATTCGGCTTTTCCAGCAAGACAATTCCCCCCAGGAATCAAGTGCCAAGAGTTCTTGGCTCACAGTTAAAGAACTAGCGTGGTTAACTCATTCAGTGAACCTGTGCCGAGCACCTTCCATGTAGCACAGTACAGCTGGCCACTGGGATGATGGCGCAGCAAGCGAGACAGGAGGTCCCTCGTCTGCTGCAGAGCCTATCAGGGGAGGTGAGCAAATGCCAGACGGTTCCGGGACTTGAGCCAGACGGTGGAGGCAGGACCCAACTTATGTTTGAAAAGATCTCTCCGGCTATCGTGTGGAGAATGGGTTGGAGAACTTTACAGGAGAATGAGAGATGCAGAAAGGAGACAATTTACGTCTAAGTAAGAGGTGATGGTGGCTTGGACTAAATGATAGAGGTAGATTATTTTAAGATGAATTTTGGAGATAAAATGGAAAAGTTGGCAATGGTTGGTTATGGGGAATGAGGAGAGGGAAGTATCAAGGATGACTCCCATGTTTCTGAACTTGAATGAGGGTTGAATTAATATTCCTCAATCTCAGGGATAGATATAAACTCTGTGGTCTTAACATGTCCCTGATCCGTGTGCCTGCCTCCCCAGTCTCCTTCTGGAGTGATGGTCAGTCCATTTTCCTGTGCGTGCACTTGTATCTGATTCCCATCGAGACACCAACTTTTGCTTATTCCTGAGTCAGCTTCCCTTCGGAAGCCAAGTCTGTTTCTTTCTTTAACTCTCCCTTGTCTTTTAATGGTCTGCTCACTCATTGCTTATTAGGAACATTCTAAACTTTATATTCATTTCCTTATATAATGTTGCTACACTGTCTTTTTGGTGGTAAACCTGTAAGTCAACACCAAATCAAATGTAAGTCATCAATGCACGATCCCTCATAGCGCAGGGGTATGAACAAAGTAGGAGTTTCACATTTTGTTCCCAGTTCATGTTTTTGCTTCAGGCAGAGTCACCGAACTTCCACGAGGTTTACAGGGACCTTTTATCCCTGTTACCAGACATAATAAGTTTTGCAACCAGAAAATGTGAGTCCTCAACTTTGTTCAAGATTATTTTGGCAATTTTAGTGCCATTGTATTTTGAAATAAATGTTAGAATAGACGTGTCAATTTCTCCACTGCCTTCTGAGACTTTAATTATGATGACTTTGAATTCACAAATCACTTTAGGAGAATGGACCTCTGAATGAAACTACAGTCCATAAATATGGTTTAGTTCTCCATTTCTTTAGGCTTCTTCAGTTCCACTCAGCAGCATTCTATAGTTCTCTTATTTTGCATATGTTTTGTTAAGTTTTTTCACATGATTGTTAATTGTATGTTTTTGATTTCAAAGTTTTAAAGTTTATTTCACTTGCTAGTCTATAGAAATGCAATTGATTTTTGTGTATTGACCTTGTGTCCTGTGATATTACTGATTTAATTTCAGCAGTACTTTTCGTAGCTTCGATAGGTATTTTTAGGCAAAAACTATAGTTATCATCTGTAAATAAATATAGTTTTATTCCTTCTACTCCAACTTTATGCCTTTTATTTACTCCTCTGGCCTTCATACACCAGCTAGGACTTCCAAAACATGTTGAATAAAAGTGATAAGAGTGGACATTTGTGCCTTTTTCTGTATCTTAAGAAAAAATGGTCGATTTTTCATGAAGTATAATTTATGATAGGTTTTTCACAGATATTCTTTATCACACTAAGTTCCTCTCTATGTAAATCAAATATTGAAGTTTGTCAAAAAATTTTTAAATTAATTGAGACAGTCATGTGATTTTTCTCCCTTCTTCTGAAAATACGGATTCCATTGGATGATTTTTGAATGTTTAAACTAAACCAGCATAAACCCCCTTACCATGAAGTAGTCTCCTTTTTGATACCTCACTGGATGTGATTTGCTAATACCTTGTTAGGAATTTTTGCATCTATACACATGAGGGGTATTCAGCTCTAATTTTCTTTTCTTGTAACATGCTTAGCAGAATTTGATTATCTTTGAGGCTGGATTCTTATAACATGCTGGGAGTGTTTCCTCCCCTCTGTTTTTGGAAGGAATTTGTATATTATCAGTATTTTCTTCCTGAAATGATTGCTAGAATTCACAGTGAAGATATCTGGACCTGAAGGTTTTTTTTCTTATTTTATCTATTTCGGTAAATAATATTTTTCAAAGAATTTGTCCTCTTCCGCTTGGTTGGCAACCTTGTTGGTATAGATTTCTTTTTATATTGTCTTCTTATCACCCTTTTAAAAGGGCACGTCTGTGTGATCTGTAGTGACCTTCTCTCTCTTTCACTCTTGATACTGGTGATTTGTCTTTTTAAAAATCTTGATCAATATAGCTAGAGATTGATTTCAAATTTATTGATCTTTTCAAAGAACCAACTTTTGGCTTTGTTGATTTTTTAAAATTGTCCCTCTTCAACTGTGTTGATTTCTGCTCTTATTTTTCTTATTTTCTCTCTTCCAGTTACTTTAGTTTTAATGTCCTGTTCTTTTTTTTCCTTTTGCTTCTTTAGATAGAAGCTTAGATAATTGACTCCACACATTTCTTTCTTCTAATTGTAGGCATTTAAAGCTATAAATTTCCTCCAGTTCTGTTCTAGCTGCATCCCATGAATTTAGATATTTTTATTATTATCCAGTTGAGCATTTTTTCTAATTTCCATTGTGATTTCTTCTTTGCCCGTGAATTATTTAGAATTGTGGTGCTCAATTACCAAAAATGTTTGGATTTTCTATATATTATTATTGGTTTCTAATTAAATTTCAGTGTAGTCAAAGATTTAATTTATGGTCAGCATCTGGTCTAGCTTAGTGAACAAATCTACATGCTTTCTCCATTGAAAAGAATATAGATTGTCCAGTTGTGGGTGTAATTTCTCTAAAAATCTATTAATTCAGGTAGATGGACGGTATTGTTCAAATTTTCTACATGATTTTTTGCTAATCATGAGAAAGGTGATTGTGGATTTAGCTCTTGTCTCCATCGTTCTTTCAGTGTTTGCTTCATGCCTTCAGAAGCTTCTTTATTAACCTAAATACACTTTAATACTGTTATATCTTCTTGATGAATTTATCTCCCTGTACCTCCGGGGATACACTTTGTCTTGAAGTCACTTTGGTGTGAATGTGGCTGGGTTATGCTGGGCACCCGTATGAAGTGGCAGGGAGCCTCTAAGATGGCCCCTCTAATCCTCACTCCAAGTAGTCACACTCTGTTTAATTCCCTCCCCCGAGTCCCCTTTAGATTTAGTGACGTGGGTCTGACAAGTACAGGGCAGTAGAATGATGGGACATGGATTCTGAGACCAGGTCACAGCAAGAGCACAGCTCCCCGGCTGGGTGCCCCCTCTTACTCTGACGCTTGACCTGGGGGTGGGCTCAGGGGCACACTTCGGCCTCACGAGAGACCTTGCACCAGAGGCACTCAGAAAATCTGTGCCCTAGGTACAGGTGTCCAACCCAGATAAGTGTTTGTCATTTATATTGCCAAGTTTGTTATATAGAAATAGAAAACTAATATACATGGCATATCTGTCTACAACCTTTTGCTTTCAACCTGTGTTTTTCTACTTAAAATGTTTTTCTTGCAAATAGCATGTAGTAGGTCTTGCTTTTCAATCCAATGTAATAATTTCTGCCTTTTAACTGGACTGTTTGTTCTTTTACATTTAATGTAATTAGTGATATTGTATGGTTGAGTCTAAATCTACCATCTTGGTGTGTATTTTTTGTCACATCTGTTTATTGTCCCTTTGGGTTTTGTGAATGGAAGGAATCATTTTTAGCATTCCATATAGTATAAGTATACACATTTTTAGTATTCCTTTTTATCTCCTCTATTGACCTCTTTTGCATTTTGTGTGTGTATGTGCATGCATGTCTATGAATTTTCTAGATATTACATTATGAATTTTTAACATATCTATTACCATGAATAATGTAAGGTGTCACAATGGTGTCATTCCTTTAGCCCACTTTCCTGCCCCTTATGTGCTTGTGTATTTTACTGTATCTACAGCATGAGAGCATAATACATTCTTACTATTTTTGGTTTAAACAGTTAGTAGTGCTTTATGTATTTGGGCTTTTTATTGTTTTATTTTTAATTGTGGTTTTAGAAAAAAACCACATACCATAAAATTTAGCATCTTAGCCAGGTTTAAGTGTATGGTACAGTAGTTTTAAGTATATCCACATCAGTCACTAGTAGTTTAAACAAATCCGTGTGTAATCTTTGCTATTTGCCCAGCGACGTGTCCTGTCTAGTACTCTCCATTCCTTTCTGCAGATTTGACTCCTATCTGGCATCATTTCCCTTCACCTGAAGAACTTCTTTTAGTATTTCTTATAATGCAGGTGTGCTGGACACAAACTCTATCATCTTATCAAACCAGGTAAGAATCAGTCATTTTTTTTCTTCCTCATAATAAGAGGAATTTAAAAATTTTTGACAAAATCCTTCTAACATCTCCCTTCCCAGTTTTTATTGTTAAAATTGGAGATTTTAAATCCCAAGTTGTACCTTAAGGCATTACTTTTGTATTTTCTTTCAAGATCAATTTGGACTTTTGCTTTCAGTTCGTAATTAATTATATTTGCAGTTATGTAGACATTTTATTTTATGCTCATTTTATATGATTTTTCTAGTTGCTGAGTTTTTAATATTGATTCATCTCTAAGTCAACCAAATAGGTCTTCGAATAATTTTTCTGAGAACACAGAAGTGACATATGTTCTTAGCCCATGTGTATCAAGAATGTATTTTTCTTGGCCCTTACCCATGAACAATATTACCAAATTGTTTAAAATTGCCTAAATATTGCTCCATTTCCCCCCTGGCATTAGTGAGAAGTTGAGAAAGGCTACTTCCATACGGCACTTTCACCTGTAAACCCCTTACTTAGAACTTCATGCTGCCTAAGGGCTTCAAACTGAAGATATGTTCAGATAAAAGCAATTTCAAGCTTCTCTTTTCTATTGACTTTGTGATTCCAAAGAATGAAATTGGGATTAACTAGAAGAAAAAAAACCCCTGAAGCAATGAGGGTTCGAACACTATCCAAGATTATTAAATAAATAAGGAATTTCCTGGGATTCACAGAATTGCAGGGAAAGTCTGTAAAAAAAAGTCCTCAGTCACTGTCAGACAGCACACCTTTCCCAAGCCCAAATCCTGTGTCAAGGAGGCTTTTAGGACTTTGTTCTGAATTCCCCTACCTGTCTCAAGCCTTTCCATCTCATTCAGAAATGAACTCTTAAAATCTAGCAGGACACTAAAAGCGTCACTCATCTAGCAGGACACTAAAAGTGTCACTCATCTAGCAGGACACTAAAAGCGTCACTCATCTAGCAGGACACTGAAAGCGTCACTCATCTAGCAGGACACTGAAAGCGTCACTCATCTAGCAGGACACTGAAAGTGTCACTCATCTAGCAGGACACTGAAAGTGTCACTCATCTAGCAGGACACTAAAAGCGTCACTCATCTAGCAGGACACTAAAAGCGTCACTCATCTAGCAGGACACTGAAAGTGTCACTCATCTAGCAGGACACTGAAAGTGTCACTCATCTAGCAGGACACTAAAAGCGTCACTCATCTAGCAGGACACTAAAAGCGTCACTCATCTAGCAGGACACTGAAAGCGTCACTCATCTAGCAGGACACTAAAAGCGTCACCCATCTAGCAGGACACTGAAAGTGTCACTCATCTAGCAGGACACTAAAAGCGTCACTCATCTAGCAGGACACTAAAAGCGTCACTCATCTAGCAGGACACTGAAAGCGTCACTCATCTAGCAGGACACTGAAAGTGTCACTCATCTAGCAGGACACTGAAAGTGTCACTCATCTAGCAGGACACTAAAAGCGTCACTCATCTAGCAGGACACTAAAAGCGTCACTCATCTAGCAGGACACTGAAAGTGTCACTCATCTAGCAGGACACTGAAAGTGTCACTCATCTAGCAGGACACTAAAAGCGTCACTCATCTAGCAGGACACTAAAAGCGTCACCCATCTAGCAGGACACTGAAAGCGTCACTCATCTAGCAGGACACTAAAAGCGTCACCCATCTCACACCAGAACCATCCGCTTCTAACAACTGGCTCTCGAGACGCCGTCCCTTCCCCATCCGCCTGTTAGACTGAGTGAATTCTGCATTCACACTCTCCTGACCCTGTAGCTGCACCTGCTTTGAGAATGACAGCGATCCCCATTCACCTGCCATCTCCCTTGCTTCTTCAAGTACCTCTATCAACCCACAGCCTGTTTCCCCTGATATCGTTTCTTCTTGATCTAAAGCTATTTCTTGTGCTGACTCTGGCCAAAGACATTTGAGCTGTCCCCTGTTCCTTTGCCTTTGGAATGTGACGCCTACATTTAGATACCACTCATTTTAAAAACTATCTGAAAAGTTGTGAGACATTCTTGCTTCACGCTGCTCATTCATCAAGTCAGAAAGTCAGAGACTAAGGAATAACAAGCCAAGCACGAACCAAGGAAACTAAGCTTTACTTTAAGAAGCCCTAGAAACAGCACTGGTTAACCTCTTGCTCCTGGAACTCAGAGCACACTGCCTGGTGGTCTCCAGACAAGCAGCTTCCACGTCACCGGGGAGCTTACTCAGAACAGAGAATCGACAGAACTCTCATGAGCTGCCTTTGAACGAGATCTGCCAGGGATTGCATGCATGTTAGTCTGAGAAGTACTAGTTTCTAGAACAGAGCTTCCCAAAAGGTGAGCCAGGACACACTAGTGGGGGACGTACTCTGCAAGTTCTCCTTGGCCCTCAGGGCAGCCAGGAGGGGCTGTGGGGCTGGAGCCCCTCCTGGTTGCCTCTCCAGAGAGCCGCCCATCCACTGACCTCAGTGTCGCTGGCAGGAGACGGTCAGAGCACCTGCAGAGGGGGCCGTGCTCTGAACTAAGTGCCCTCCATACAAAGATTTTCTTAGGTGTTTAAAAAGATGTTTGTTGCCCAGAATAGACACAGTAGGGCCAAATTTGTCCCACAAACTAGTGAGCTGCCTCTATTAAAGCATCTCTGTATCTTCACGTCTTGTAAAAGATCACTGTTTCTTCTCAAAATCAAGGTCCCAGTGGTTATGACCACTGTTGTGGCGGTGCCCAGGACAAGCTGCTGCCTTTTCTAAGGGTGCTTTCTCGTAAACAGGTGCTTCCCTGCGCTCTCTCTCAGAGAATACTAACAGGGCAGGCTGAGAAACCTACAACTGGCCGTTTCCTTCAAATTGCAAATATTTCTCCTCACACGTCTCGAAGCATCTCAACCTCGGCATGCTCCAAACAGAGCTTTAACTTTTCATCCCTAGGGGTGATCACTGGATTAACTTTTTTCCCCCTGCAGCTGTAATCCCCACAAGGACAGAATCTATGTCTCAGTTGTTCCCCAATGCGTCCCCATTGCCCAGCACCCTTCCTGGCATATAATAGAAGTTCAAAGAGTATTTGTAAAATAGATTGCGTGCATTTTGATTTCCAGAGCCCCTCCTAGAACGCCGTCCGCCTGATTCAGCTGTACCTGTACCAAAGTCTCACCACTGGTGAATCCTTGCTTTCTCGGGCCTTACACTGACACCCAAGCTTAGACAGCTTTTACTCCCTTTAATGTCTCCGTGGTTCTCCCTCAGGAGGCATGCTGGAACCCCTGGGGATTCGTTTGGGGGAGGTGAGTGTGCTCGGAAGCGACTTTCCTGGGAGGCTCGGCCCCACCCCCTGCCTTGCAGAGACAGGGCAGGAGGAGCCCTTTGCCAACCTCAGGGTAATTACCTGGGCCATGGGAAGACATCCTTACGAGGTGTGCTGCCCAGGGGCCCCACTCCTCTCCTCTCCTCCCTCCCCACCCGCCCTGGCTCCCGCGGGCTTTCACAGAGAGCCTGTTTACACAGGAGCAGCTGCCCTTCTTCGTGTAGTGATTGGTTTGACAGAGCCGATCTTTAGAAGTAGACCCCCAGCCCCACCGCTGTTCGCCTTCAGTAAAACCCCCTGACGCATTTCTGGCGTGTGTCAATCACCCACCCCCTGCACTGAACGCGAGGCTGAGCGGCGATCGCCTGTGTCTCCAGGCACGTCTGTCTCGCCGTGGGTGTACCTGCAAGGCCCTGGGGAGCCCTGAGGTGGGGGCATCGTTCGGTCGTCTTGGCAGCTAGTCCACCAGTGCCTGCCAGGCGTCCAAGGGCCACACAGGGATCCAGGGCCATGGGTAGTTCAGACAAATTTCCCTCTCAAACCGGCGCCTTCTCTGTGAGCCTTCTAGACCTTATGGAGTGTCTCACAGCGTGGAAACGATCCCCACCATCATCTGGCTGGCAAGCAGCAGTTCTGTGGCCGTTTGTGTCTTAAAATAGCTTAATGCACAGGGAGGCACAGAGGTCCACCCGCTTCTCCTGATTGCTCAGACACTCCAGACCAGTCAAGACAAACTCTCACCCAGCTACTAATTCTCCCATTGATATGGGGCAGGTAGACCCAATCAAAGGTCATTATTGTTCCCCTTTTATACCAGCTTATTGGTTGGTAGGAATTCCCAGGAACCTATACGTTATCATGCTCCTTCCTCCTTTTAATATAACAGCTTTACTGAGATAAAATTCACAGTGTGCACTCCACCCATTTAAAGCATGCAATTCGATAGTTCTTAGTGTTTTCACAAAGGTATGCAATCCTTGCCACAATTTTAGAGCATTCCCATAACTCCTGAAAGAAACCTGTACCTATTAGCAGTCGCCCCCATGCCCCCGAGCCCCTGATCCCTGGGAACCACCGGTCTTCTTCCTAACTTGGTAGTTTTGCCCCCTCCAGACACTTGGTGTAAGTGGACTCATACAGTGTGTGGCCTTCTATTTCCGGCTCCCATCACTTACTGTGATGTTCTCAAGGTTCTTCCACATGTTCTAGCTTGTATCGTTCATTCCTTTTTCTCACTGAATAATATTCCTTTGTATTGATATACCAGCTTTTATTTAATGTGCTCATAAGCTGATGGATGTTTCGATTTCCATCTTTTAGTTATTATGAATAATGCTGCTATAAATACTCATGTACAGGTTTTCATTTTTCTTGGGTATATGCCTATGAGTGGAATTTCTGGGCCATGTAGTAATTCCACGTTTACCCTTTTGAGAAGTTGCCAGACTGTTTTCCAAAGTTTTCCATTTTGCATTCCCACCAGTAGTGTGTGTAGGTTCCAGTTTCTCCACATCCTTGTCAACACTTATTATTATGTCTTTTTTATTACAACCATTCTAGTGGATGTGAAGTGGTTATCTCACAGTTTGGTTTGCATTTTTCTGATGCCCGGTGATATTGAGCATCTTTTTGTAGCTTCTTAAATGGAAAATTATAACAAACATAAAGGATGTCTAAATAACTGATTATATGCACTAGGCTTAAGATTTTAACTAAATATTTACAGAGAATGCCCACAGCTAATTGCTCTTATCTCAAACTGTTCTACCTGGAGACTAATCTCCCAAGTTTTATTGAAACCATTCGACTTTTTTCTCATCACCTGAAATGGTCCCACCCGAAGTCTCTCTCTTACCTGCTCTGTGCTGGGCTGGCCTCTGCTCTCTCCAACAAGCCTTGGTGCCCAAGTGGCCACCTTTTCTCCTGGACTGTGTGTTTCTTGAATGTGAGCCTGGATTTATACCCCCAGTGCTTTGTTCATTAACCTCCTCAAAGGGCTGGGCACCCAATCCCAATCCCACTCCCGTCCTGTGGGCTCTGTGGCCTTCTGGCCACTTCACACCCGTGTCCCCTGCTCATCCCTCTGACCTCCCTGATGTCCCACCATTTATTCCTCCTTTGTCTGTTTCCTTGGTTTCTCCTGTGCACTCTGTATGTTTATCTAATTTTTTTCAGTCATCAGTTTGTTCCTTCAATCCTCCCCTGACAAATTCCAGAAGGCTCTCAGGTGCCCTATTTCATCTCTTGTCCTCACCTTCTCTGTCTCTTTCATTAACTGATTTGCCCTCAAGAAACCTCACTGACTGGGCAGGAAACGATGGGATTCCTAGTGAGTTTACCAAGAACATGAGATCATTCAGGGAGAAGGTCTCTACGTGCAGTACACGTGGGGCTTGAGAATGGTGACTGGTAGTTCTGCCCCCTGGAGGGGACCTGGCCGCAGTTCGCCACGGTGATCAACAGGCCCCATCAACATCTGCAGAAGACCCCCCTCCATGCCACCGATCAGCAGCTACCACAAAAATACCATTTCAGCACTTTAAACCCATTATCACCTGACATGTATGGCTGCTACCTCGCAGTTTGGCAGAGGGGACAAGGGTAATCAATAATAATCATAACAACAATGATAACAAGTGAGCCAGGCGCTCTTGTAAGCAGCGGAGGATGAACAATTTCACGGGGGCGACCTGTCATAGAGTCAGGCAGCTGTGTACTTTTATTGTCATTTCCATGTTATTAATCACTTTATGAAGAGATACCAGCACAGGGTAATGTCACATTCAGATACCAAAATAGCCCCTCATTTCTTCTTTCTCCATCTTTATAACAGTCATAGCGCTAGGGGTGTCACGGGTTGGGACAACACTGCCGTCCTCAGCCCTCACCGGAGACTCTGGGGTCCCTGGGGAGGGGCGGATGGCAGCGTCTGTTCCTTCGTGTCTTTCAGAGTCAAGGTGCCGGAGAAGGAGGAGAAGCTGAGGCAGGCGGTCAAGCAGGTCCTGAAGTGTGATGTGACTCAGAGCCGGCCACTTGGCTCTGTCTCCCTGCCCCTGGCCGACTGTGTGCTCAGCACGCTGTGCTTGGACGCTGCCTGCCCAGACTTACCTACCTACCGCGCAGCCCTCAGGTACCTCGGCAGCCTGCTGAAGCCGGAGGGCTTCCTGGTGGTGGTGGATGCCCTGAAGAGCAGCTTCTACATGGTTGGCGAGCAGAGGTTCTCCAGCCTCGTCCTGGGCCGGGAGGAGATCGAGGCTGCCATGAAAGAGGCTGGCTACTCCATCGAGCAATTCGAGGTGCTCCCTCAAGGGTACTCCTCCACCATATGCAACAATGAGGGGCTGTTCATCCTGGTGGGGCGGAAGCTGGGCCGTTGTGCGTGAAAGCTGGTGATCCCAATTAAAGCAGTGCTTCTCTTGGCCCAGCTGACTTCAATCCTTGATTCCAGGTGCCTCGGGCACCTTGCTGAGGAGGCCGATGGTGGGGCCCCGGGACTCATTTAGGCGGTGCTGGAAGGGCCAGTCCACGTAGGAGCAGTGTGCTGGTACTACACGGGCTTAAGGATGACAGCCGGCAGGCCCAGGCCTCCTGCCTGTGGTCGCAGAAGCCGTGTCTTCCCTGAGCATGGCCGTTCTGGGGGCTCGAGCCCACGCCTGCCCACAGAGCACTGTCTGCCCTCCCTCCTTGTTTTCCTGGGGGCCTGCAGCCCTCTCTCCCAGGGGCAGGCTTCTGCTCTCCAGCAACTGCCCCTCTGGGGCCGCCCCCACCTTCAGGGTCAGAAAACAGCTGCCCCTTTGCTCCTGGGTCCCAAGTACGGGGCAGGCCCTTCTCCCCCCTCAGCACGTCCAAGCAGGACTCTGACCCCTGCCTGAAGAGAGGTTTGGGCATCAGCAAGAGAAACACCAGGCGCTATCCTGCAGCTGCTACTGGAAACAGGTACCAGCGCCCCTCATCAGCGGGGCCTGACGGTAGTCGGTTAGTGTAGCTCCTGGCCAAGCCTCTGCCTGGGGTCAGCTCACATGCCCGCGGCATGTCCACCCTCTCCGGCTCTGAGGCCCGTCACTGTGATGCTCTAAAACAGGCTGACAAACTGTGGCCATGAGCCAAGCCCAGCCTGCTGCCTGCTCGGTGAAGTTTTATTGGAACAGCCACGCGATTCGTTACCGTCCTGTCTGTGGCTGTTTCCACGGTACAGCGGCAGGGTTCAGTAATTGTGGCGGCACCGCGTGCATGGCCCGCAAAGCTAAAAATCTGTTACCTGGATCTTTATGGAAAGTTTTCCCACCTTTACCCCGGAGAGGGGCTCCCTCCTCACGCAGGGCAGAGGCCCTTGCCCCCAGCCCTCCTTTCTCCCCTCCTCCCAGGATTACCGACCAACCGGGACATTCCTGCTTCCCCCTGGGGGAGTCCTTCCTTCCCACGGCCCCACATCGGGGCATTTCTTCTTGCGTGGTTGTGTCGGACAGTGTCACATCACCATATTGGGCCATTTTTAGGACATTTTCAGCTGTTCAATCTCTTGGGACATTTCCACCACAACCCAATATTACCTGATTACACTTTCTAGAGATTCTGTCCTAACAGGCCAGTCCAGGCTGGCCAGGGAAAGCCAAGTGCGGCTGTTCCTACCAGCAGGCGGCAATGGCCAAGCAAACAACAGCTCTGAGGAGGACAGACATCTGATCCCCCGGGAGCCGGCGCCAAAGCCACCGAACCACAGAGAGGCCCACGTCTGTGGGGACAGGGCTCCCTCAAACCCATGGGCCATGAACCCTGCCCACCCAGAGCAAGAGCTTCCCCTCTGTGTGGGGTCACTTCCCCAAACAATGGCCCTTACTCATATTTACTGGATTTTTCTGGTTTAAAGGAATGCTATGCAACCTCTTTTTAAAATGAGCTTTAAAGTGATAGGTTTTCTACTTTTCCTATGAAAATTTTGGGGGGAAAAGTCCAAGACCAGACTGGAAAGAACAGCTTCATAAGGCAAGAAGCAGACAAGTTTTCTGTGATTTCCCTCTAGGGTGGCATTCGTTGCATCGTCTCACAGCTGTTTATTTTTGCTTTCCTTCTGAACTGTGAGGGTCTTGGGTTTATATTGGGTTCCTCAGCACCTTGGCCGACAGGGTCTAGGTGCTGGGGGAAGAGCCCTGTTCTCAGGAGCTGTGTTCTAGAGCAGGGAATGGAGGGGTGGGCAGACAGGGAAACTGAGGCAGTAAGGATTCCTGATGGATAAGAGCTGTGAAAGAGATATAACAGGGTAAGGGAATGGGACTGAGTCAAACAATAGGGGTTTATCGATCTCATTAATAAGAAATTCAGAGGTATGCGCTTCCAGGAGAAAACGGTGGCTCAGCAGCCTCCCCAGCCATCATGGTCACACCCCTTTCCACTAGGCCTTTGCAGTGAGCAGGATTTTCACGGGAAGAAAGCTTTTCCAGAAGCCCCCAGCAGGGTTCCTATATCTTACAGACCAAAACTGAGTAACACTCCCACCTCTAGACCAGCCCCAGACAGAACAGAGAGGACACAGGCACATTCCTCAAGATTTGGTAAAAGAATGAATAAATTCTTGGCTGATAACATCAGGGAAAGAGAAAACTCACTGGGGCCAGTGAACGCGCTAGCATCTCTGTCATCCTAGTCACCCACTTTTTTTTTTCCAGCCACAGTGATCACCCCATGTTCAAATTCTGGCTCTGCCACTTGGCCACTTCTCCTTGGACACCTTGGGTCACCTCTCTGTCACAGTTTCCGCATCTGTAAGATGAGATTAACATACAAGTTCTTGTCCAGAGAATAAAAATAAACTACATATAACAGGACCTAGAATAATGCTCAGCACTTGATAAGCACATACCATTTATTTACTGCAATCTATAATCATCTTCCTCACATCTCCAGCTTTGATAGGACCTGCCGAGCAGCCTAGAACAGATGTCTAAGTAGGAGTGTTTCAGTCCTGGGCTGCAGGCATCGAGGCCCTTCTGTGGCATTACCTTCTAGAAGGGCTGGGACAGTAGTGTCTACACCACACACCATCCATTCCTTTCTCGTTTAAGAAATATCCCACATACGTTAAATTAGCACCTCCTTCACCTTCGTTGCTCCAGGCAGAGAGAGTCACAAGTGAAACCCAAGTGTGAGCCGCTCAAGGGTCTCTGTCCACCTTCGCTCACACAGCAACACCCTGAGGGTGTCTGGGTCCTTCGAAGGCTGTACTATCGCCTGCAGTGCCCGGCTCTGGGTGCCCACGGTCCTGCTGGTTTCCTCCCAGAGAGGGAGGGATGCTTTCCATCCACACCAGGCGTCAGCAACTTCTGCTGCGAAGGGCCGCATTGGCAAATATCTTCAGCTCTGCAGGTCACATAATCTTGAGCTCAACCTCTCAAGTCTGAGGCGATAGTAAAAAGAACTGTAGGCAATATGCAAATTAATGGGCACGGTTGTGTCCCAGTAAAACTTTGTTTACACAAACAGATAGATGTGTGGATTTGGCCCAAAGGTTGTGGTTTACTGATCCCCTATGTAGACCCTGAAGCAGCCTTGCCTGTGCCCAACCTGCTGTAAGGTTTCTCATGAACATTCCAGTTAGTTTCTAATACTTAGTTCTGCTTAGAGGAGCTCAGACCCAGCCCAAGGGGCTGAAGGGGAAATCAGGAGAACACTGTTTTACCCCAAACTCCATTCGTGCTCCATCCGTCCCTTCCCAATGCAGCCCCCACCCCACCTCCCCGACCAGAGCTCCTTGCTGCCGCGGTGGGAAGGCGCTCAGTGTGTGCAGACAGAAAATGCAGGTGGGGGCTAGGTGGAGTCAGTTTCCCCGATAGACCTCAGACTACAAGCCGCCGTTGGAAAGCAATTTAGGGCATCACTGTAACATTTAGAAGAACCGAGAATACACTAGAAGACAAGTTCCCAGATGGTAGCACTTAAATGGTATTATTTTGTGAAGTTTTTTTCAGTTTATGAAACTACATATATATATATATATATATATATACACACACACACATATAAAACCACAACTTCTTGTTACTTGATTGTGGTATAAAATGTATTTATAACTGTGGGCTGTGATCACAGGAGTCGGAAAGCCACTGGACTCCACTTGGAGCGTCTGGGCCCCAGCTCGGAGAGCCCACATTTCTCTTTCATGCAAAGGTGGAAGGCGTGGTCCCTGTTCTTAGCCAACTCTGGGTCACTGGGGGACATGCACCTAGTTACAGTTCAGCGAGTTGAGGGCTCTGAGGTGAGTGGGCATGGGGTGTTCCGAAGGAGGGATGTCAAGAAAGGTGGCATGCGCTCTGGGTCTGTTGGGCAGATGGGGAAGAAAGGACATGTGGGAGGAGCACCACGTAAGCGTCGTGGAATGCCAGCGCCTGCTGGCGCTGCCCTTACAGGTTTGCTCCACACGTGAAGTGGGCCTGAGCACACATTGGCTTCTGGGCTTCTGCTCTCGTTCCCTGAAATCAAACAGAGCAGCCAGGTCACCGGCAGACACTGACCTCGGGTCCCTCTGGCACTAACTTAGAAATCTCTTTGACCACTGACCCAGCACACACGTTTCTCAGCCCGCTTTCTGGGGATATGTCGCCCTGAGTGAACTGTTATGATGCTGGAAGACGTGCATCTGCATGAGGTCCTGGTCAGGGACCAGGGAGGAGAGAGCTGGGTGGACAGTTTGGGGCCCTGCAGCCCGAGCAGCCCGGCCCCTGTGGCCCCCATCAGCTGGCCTTCAAGGGCGGTGGGAGGAGATGCCCGTGCTGTGACTCACGCAGCTGGCCTCCAAGAGTTGTGGCGGCCCCTCTGACTTTAGCCTCAGCGACGCCGGGAAGGCGAGGGCGCCACTCTGTCCCGGGCAGGCTGGGGGGAGGCGGGGCTAGCCCGGCAGTGGGGGCAGGACACATGCACGCACCTCGCCCCACCACGCGGTTGGCCTTCCTCAAGCCCAGGGCCCTCCTGTGACATGGGGCAGTGGTCGTTTCTCAGGACCGCTGAGATCTCAGGAGGCAGCTGCGGGGCATCTCAGAGCCTATTAGTGGTAAACAGCCGTTAGATAAGTTGATACCCCCTCCAGGACAGCCACGTGTCGCCTACGTACACTAGGATTTCCTGTGCTGAATGGGCACAGCCTTCAAAGCTCTCGAAGAGCCCGTGACCGAGCCTGGGAACCTGTGTGCCTTGGTCTGGGTCAGCACCACTGTTACGGGTCAGCACCCTGACCCACCCTCCTTCGCAGCCACCCGCCTGTCCGGGACACGCCGCCTGGGCCCCCACGCACTGGGCTCAGGGGCGGAGGGCGCCCGCCGCCCTGCAGGTGCCCCGAACCCCGAACCTCGGGCCTGCGAGGGGACCGGAGAGTAGCGCCCTCCCACCGAGCCGAGGTCAAGCCCTCAGCTTCTCTGGTTCTCGGACCAGCCGTGCGGGACCCTCGTGCCCCTCCCGGCAGGGCCCTCCGAGAGCAGCCCCTTCCCGTGCAGGATGCCCATGCCCTCTGCTCAAAAAAAACAAGCAGCTGGAGGTCAGGCGTTCCAGGGAGATCATCCCAAAGAAAAACACCATCGCGGGCCGAATCACTTCATATTTTCCGATGGAAACGGGCTTCTCCTTCCCTGTCCACCCACCATTCTCGCTTTGCCTCGCTGGCCCCCGTGCAAACGCTTTCCTTGGCCTCCTGGCCGCCAGCAGGGGGCGCGCCTGGCCCTTGGGAGCCCTTCGTTCCTGAATTTGCCACTTTACACAGCCAGGAATTTAAATTGAGTTAAACCTTCCAAAACAAGAGGCCCCTCCACCTTACTGCCTTCTGTTCCACTCCACTTATGAGGCTGCTAGGGAAAGGGGAAGGGAGAATACAGCCTCTTTTTCTCTGACAAAACATACATATAATTATTTTTACAGATGCATACATTAAAAATGTCCTCTATACAAAAGGTCTATACAAAAATTGCAAAATTTAATAACACCATACAGAGCCTCTTGGCCGGATTAGCATAAGAAATGTTAACTATTAGATTATGCAGTTCATTCACCATCACCTCCTATTTCCAGTTTATTCAAAGAAGGAAAAAAGTTTTTGAGCTTTTCAAAACCCAGTTTTTTTAATATTTAAAAAGTGAAGACGTCTTTCTACAGTTGCTGGCCAAATCACTGTGCTTAAAACTTTAGTTTTTAATTTAATAGTGTCTGATGAATTCAGGGGGCATGTTGGGCTTCCATTTCAAATTCTCCACAAATAGTTATGCATTAATATGGCCTTTGTTCTGACCTCAGTGTAGAAGATCGAGAGATAATTTCTTCCCTGGCATCTCTCTGTATTTCAGAGAAAAGTTTTTGAACATTTAAACTGAAGAGGAGTTAAGGAACTATACACAGTAGTTCTGCTTATCTTCACCAAGATCAATAACAATAAGGACAATCCACTCTGAAGCCCACCACCCAAGGGACGGATCTTCTGAAGGGCAGGGAGGCTGGTGCACAACGTGCCACAAGGGGACGAAGACGTTTCGAGGAGGAGGGTGAGCTGTTAATTTACTGCCCCCTTTCTTCTCAGGGCCAATTTCTGTCTGCTTCTCACGGCCCTGTGGTATTGGCTAAGTGCTTTGGAAATTCCAATTATGTGATGTGACCCTTGCCTTCATGGAATTTATGATCTTACTTGTGAGTTAAGATTTGCGAAACTAATCATCAAAACCTCCTTTTTTATAGGTGAGAAAATCAAGCCAGTAGCCAGAAGCAAGAAACTTCACCTTCCCATACTTTAGTCTCTACTATAAAATGAGAGGTTGCACCAGGCAGCTCTGAGGTCAACATTTTATGACTTCTGAGTTAAAGAACAGTTCTTGTTAAAGTAGAATTAAATACATGTGTGGCCTAAATTAATCTCATTCACTGAGCTCCAGGTGAAATTGGCTCAGACCTCTATTCTTCACACAAACCATGACTCCCCTAATCTTCCAAGAAATCTGGGGGGTAACAACTTGTATTTCTTCAGCTGACCCCTGGGTCTAAGCTCCTGCTAGTTCTGAGTTCCTGTTTGCAAACCATCTTACTTCAAGCATGTGCTGATCTTTTTTGGTGCCACATGACCCCTGATCAGACCCATCCTGATGCCTGCCTTCTCTGAAGTCTCACTGGCCCTAACATACGTGAGTACCAGATTATACTGAAGCTTCAGAACAATAGAAGGGGTTCACACGTAGGACTGAAGCACCTTAAAATATTAAGCATCCTTGCTCTTAACCTTATGGGAATTTCTCAGTGACTCACATTCTCCAATTGCCCCTCGCCTGCTCCTCTGTCTTCCTCCCCTTCTCTGTTCTCCAGTGCCCCCCTCACTGGCTTCTTGCCTCCCCTCCCAAATACCTGTCCTCATCTCTGCATTTCACTCACTTCCTTAGGTCTGGACCCACCCTTGGGGCTTCACTTCCCTCAAGTCTTTGGGGTGTTTTCCTTCAAAGGGATTTTAGTGTCTCTATTTAGAATGAGAAAATTCACTCCCTTTACTTCATCGGGGGCTTGGGCTCTGAGCTTAGTCGCGCCCGAAGCAGAGGGAAATTAGCCGTCACAAGTCTCACTATGCTTATAGATTCCGAACAAACGGACAAACCGGCTGTTCTTCAGCATGAGCACAACTTTTCCAGGTCACGAAAACTCTCCTGCAGCACAGGATGATGGGGCCGTGTGGGCATCGCCCCCCACGGCATGCCCCCCGCTGTGGCATCCTGGCTCAGCTCAGGGCATGTACCCTGACTTTTTTCAAGTCTGAATCCTCTAGAAGAGTATTATTAATTCCTGAACACAAAGAGCGCTCGTCCACGGAGCGTCAGGAAGGCGTCTAAGCGCTGGGTAGAGAGGAACACGGACCTGGTGCAGACCTGGAGCTTCCACGAGCAGGGGTCAGCTTTACTGTGTTGACTTGGTGTGAACGGGAAGACAGAGGGGAAGCCTGGATGCGCTTGGAAGGGTTGCCAAAGGCTTCCTGGAGGAGGCAGTGCCTAAGATCAGGCCTAAAGGGGAAGTAAGATATATTTGAGCAAAAATGAGGGGAACAAGTTCTGGGCAGAGAATGGAACTCACACAAAATGCCCGAGGTGAGAGGGCAACGCACAGAGTGCTTACTGAGCACAGACGCCAGGCGCGCCAGAGCCCCTGCCCCACGTCAGCCCCTGCCCCACATCAGCCCCCTGCTCTTGCTGCGCAGAGTATCGGCCGCCGAGGGCTCACAGCCCCCTTCCTGGAGAGCTGCCCTTGGCTGGCAGGCCCCATCTCCTCTGGGAAGGCACAGGCTGCTGCTCCCTGTCCACCCCCAGGGGCTGCCCCGGCCAGTAGCGGCTCACACAGGACCCCAAGGCTGGTTTTCTGGCACAAGTTTATGCTCTGCACCTCCCGCAGCAGGTCAGGCCGAGGCCGGACTCCACCCGAGACCACATCCTTGCTCAGCCCCCTTCTCCCTCATGACCAGTTTTCCCTTCAGGAAAAAGTAAACAAAAATAAATAAACTGATCCAAGATAAATAAATTCCATGTTCCCAGAGCCCTGAATTGGGCTCTGCTTCTAGAGAAACTGAGCTCAGACAGGGACGAAGGGAAATTTATTGAGATGGAAGTTTCCATACTCACCTGGCTCAGAATTTAAGCCTCATCCATTTACTGAAGGAAGTTATTACTAATTTCAATAAAAATTCTGATGTATCCATTTAGGTTCCTGATTTTTTAGGATCGCAGTTAATAAAACTCAGCTCTGACCTTAATTTGTAAATAAGGACCATGAGACCCAGGAAATCATGACCTTTGGGTAAAGCCTCTCTGAGCCTCAGTCTCTTTGGAAAGAAGGAGCAATAATGTGCTCTCTCTGCTGTGTCAGCGTTCAGCTAGAAGAGTATTATTATAAAACACTCCTTGAGAATAAAAAATGTCCTTTGACCTGGAACATGAGGACAGGATTGGCTTGGATCACAACCACCAGTATTCCGGGTTCTGGGAACGCACACTCCTTCGGCCAAGTGAGAAAGTCTACTTTCTGGTTATGACTCAGTGTCTTATGAGTCTGATTATTGGAACCTGTGACCAGAGCAGCAACAGATGCAATGACAAAGGAAGTTTCTGAATGTACAAGACCAGACACTGAAGCCAGATGCCCACACTCTTTGGGACTGACGTGAAACAGCCGTGTTTTCTGTCTCCCTTCGTCCCCTGGAGACCAGGTGGGTGACCGGCCAGAGTGGGGCGGGAGGGGTGCCGGACCCTGAAGGGGGGTTAGGAAGAACTCCCAGAAGACCCTCGCGAAATGGGAAGCATGGCACCTCCCAGCCACACTGCCCACCTCTTCCTCTCCTCTCAGGCGATGGGTGTCACCCGTGAATGAGAGGTAGTTAGTGTCCTTCTAGAAAAAGCAATTAGGTGCAATTAGCACACGGAGAAAAATCAATTGTTCCACAGTTCATAGAGGGTCCTGCTGGCTGGGGGCACACTCAACACCTTCTAGGAACACTAAATAATCATTAGCAACTGATAATCATTAGAAAAGTATGGGCTTAGGAAACCTGGATCCCGGGGGACCACACAGTCCCCAGGGTGGAGACTGGAACATTCAGCCTTCCACATCACGGCAAACCCCAGCAGCCCAGCAGCGAGGTGAGCTGGATGCCCAAGTCCCCCAGGGTCCCTGTGAGCTCCCTGTCTTCGGGCTCACAGGCCCCTTCGGAGTGCTAGGCACCCACTCTGAGACAGGAAGTCAGACATGCATGGTCCTGCCTCTCAGAGCTATGGTCTATTTTGCAAGGATGACAGTAAATCAAGGAAAACAATTCAGCACAGGAACGTGTGTGATTCCTAGAGGAGCAACTTTTTTAAAATTGAAATTTAACTTTTAATTGGGATGTCGTTGATAAACAATATCATGTTGGTTTCAGATGGACAGCATAGTGACTCGATAATTATATCCTTTACTAGATGCCTGCCACAGTAAGCGCGCTCAGCCCAGCAGCAGGCCAAGATACTGCGGTATTACTGGGTGTGGTCTCTGGGCTGTGCGTCTGTCCCCATCACTGCCTCACTTCATGATTTCAAGTTTGTTCCTTTTTATCCCTTCGCCTAGTTCGCCCATCCCTGCACCCCTGTCCCTATGATAACCAACAGACTATTGTCAGTATTTGTGTGTCTATTCCTCTGTTTGTTTGAGAAAGTGACTTTTGATCTGAGCCCTAGAGGATGAAAGAGTAAGCCATCCACATATTGCAGGCAGAGGGTTGGGAGAAGGGGAGCTGAAGCCCTCACAGAGCACAGCCAAGACTTCAAACAAGAGAAAACACGGCTCACCGAGGAACGGAGAGAAGCTCCGTGGGGCTGGGGTGTGGGGCTGGCGTGAGGTGGGGAGGGGTTGGCTAAAGAGAGGAACTGAGGCCGAGCTGGAAAGGCTGAAGGCATTTGTACCCAATTCTCAGCACACCGAGAACCCTTGGAAGGTGGTAAGTGAGGACATCACAAGGCCCGGCTTGGGAAACAGAGACTCATGCCGCCCTCCGGTGTTTCCGGGGAGGATGCCCTGCGGCTTCTCTGGGTTGCTCAGCCTCTGGGGTAACTGGAAGAAAATGTTCTACTGTTACGTAAGTCTGGCTTCCTGGACACACTGGTTGCTCCACACTCCTGCCCGAAAAGCTTCTGGTGATTCTCCAAGCCCTCGTGGACCGGCTCCAGACCCCTTCTCCTGGCTTCCAGGGCCTTTCTCAGTGGCCCACCTGCTGCCCCCCACTGCGCCCTCAGGCATGTGTGCCTGACACTGGGGATGTGCTCAGTACTAGCTGTTGGGTGGGAGAATGATGCCCTGCCTTTGGGTGTCCACGTCAGTCTCTCAGAAATGTGCCCCCCGGCCTTCCTGCTTTGCAGGCATTGACCCAACGCCTGGATGGCACCAGCCCTGTGAGCTGCCAGGAAGCACTCATTCTTCCCTTCCTAAATCAGCTCAGAAGTCCCTCCTCTGAGAATCTTCCTCTCTTGGCAGAGCTGATAGGTCCTCCTCCGGGCTCCCTGGGCCAGTTCTACCTGCAGTTGATTGTTGTCCTCATTCTATGAAGTCACCGTGAGCACTGAACTAGCAAACACTGAACCACTGTTCCTGTGGCAAATACCGGGTCAGCTGCCTGCAAGCCTCTGCTCATAGCATCTTCAGAAGCTGATCGATGCGTGACTTCATGTGTGTTTCTGTTGAATATACATTGTTGATTCATCAACGTGGAACTCAGGGTGAACAGCACTTTATCTCATGAAAGAAGCTTATGTGACATACATATCTTCCCTGTAAGGCACATCACAGCCTTCTTGTGCTTAAGAACAGTAGAAAGCCTTCAGTACCATGCTTGGGGACCATTGTAAGCAGTGAAATCACCAACAAAAAGCACAAAATTGCAAAAAGGTAGCACTAAACAGACCCTGGAAAGGACATTTATTTATAGCAGAACTGCTGAAACAAGAAGGCAAGTGTTGTCTCGTCTGACCTCAGCTGCAAATGTGCATGTCAGGCAACTCGAATTTTTCATTACTCTGCATGCTTAGGATGATGCCAAAGCACCCCAAGTACTGATGTTGGGGCTACAAGTACATGTTAGTGAATAGGTGTATCCACAGAGAGTCCGTGAATAATGAGAATCAATTGTATTTGTAGTACAGCATTTATTGTTCTGAGTTGAAGTTAGTAATTTATGTGCCTGTTTCTTCCATTAGAGTCTAGGGGCTACACGCGGGCTTCTTGAGTAGCTGGCATGCAGTAGGGGGACAATGACAGTGAACCCGGGGCTCCTTCTGTGAGGTTCACCATATGCGTTTTCTCACTCAGTTCTCACAAGCAATCTCTGGGTTATGTTCTGTCATTATTCCCACTTCACAGACGGGAAACCAAGGCTTAAGTGGGGACAGTAATAGTGCCTGTGGCGATCTACGGAGTAGTGGAGGTGGGATTCGCACACAAGCTCTCTGACGCAGACACTCATGGGCACGATGGGTGGGCTCTCCTGCCTGTGGCTTTCAGCCCTTGGCTGGACAGGAAACACAGCACTTTTAGCATAAATGGCTGGCCAACCTCCAATAGCGGCAGTAGACCCCAGGGGAGAGGGGAAGGAAGAGTCGCCCCAGGAGGAAGCAGCGCTGGTGGCAGGTGCCCTTACAGGTGGTCGCCGGACGACTGGATCCACTCGCTGGTCTGAGGAAGGCCAGTGGCGAAGGCCGTCGCTGTCTGGAAGGAAGGGTTTATGTGGCTGTGACAGGAAGGGTCTGTACAGAGCTGTGGCAAGTGAACTGTCCAGACTGGACCTGTTTGCCCGAAGGTCAAGGCCTAGGCTAGGCCCTGGGGGGCCCTGGGGTGGTCTCCGTGGTTACACGACAGCCCTGGGCAACAAGACTGGTTCCTAGGCAGCGAAGCCTGGGGCCCACAGCGGGCATGACCTTGGAGCACTGATGTGGGCATCCAGCGTGGAGTGCTCCTGTAGGCCTGCCTGCTTTCTGCCGACCGCCCCTGTGCCCATCCTCACCCTGAGAGGCGCGCTGGGGAGTGCCCGAACCAGGTGACTGCATACGCCAGGCATGCCCGTGGACGCCCAAGCTGGATGACACCGCATACGGACTGCCCCTCGCTCGTGTCGCCGACCCTTGGATGCACGGACTGGTCTATGTGCGGGGCCAGACACCGAGCCCCCGCGGCACGCCCGTCCCGGGGCCCCTGACACGGGACCTGGGCCCCTGGCCGGCTGCCGGCCTCCTGCCGCATCACGGAGTGGGGTTCTGGCCGGGGGCGCGCTCCTTCCTCTCCTAGGGCACCAAGGCTCGAGGCCCTGTCTGCGGCAGGCGTTCTGATTCTCTCTGCTCCCCGGGCACGCTGGCTCTGCTCCCGTCAGGGGCTGCTCGCACTGCCAGGGGGTCCTCAGGGGGCCGCAGAGCCATGGTCCGGCCTCTCGGCCAGGGAGTCCGCCCGCTGCCCGCGCACAGGTTCTGCCGCTGCACCCACGGACTTCGGGTGCGGCGCCCGCGCCCCCGGGCCTCCCCCACAGCCCGCCTCCTGGGGCCCTGGCCCCCCGCCCCCCGCTCAAGGGGCGTCTCAGGATGCGGGCCACGCTGTGCCCAGGCCCCCGCGAGACCAGCCCCCCACGCCGTGTGCATCCCGTCCCTGCCGCCCCTCCCTTCCCCACGGCCTCCACCCGGGAGCACAGCGAGGACAGAGCGGCCCCGACGGCGGGGTCCGTGTGCCCGTCCCCACCCCCCGTGCCCCGCAGCCCTGCTTTTCAGGAGACCCGCGCGGCTGCCGACCCTTCTCCTCTCAGGCAGCACCGGGTGCCTCCACTGCGGGGCGCTGTGCCCTCGGGGCCTTCATGGTGGGAACCCAGGTTCGGTATGTGACCCGGTAGGGCCCTGGCCCGCCTCCATCAGCGTTACCTTCCCATGAGAGGGAAACCCGACCCCGCAAAGCTGTGAAAAGCGGCCCGGGGTTCTCAGAGGCTTCGGGCAGCGGGGCTGCGCCCCCTCTAGGACACGGAGAGACTTCCTACCCTGGGTCTCCCGGGGCGCCTCTCCCCACAGGCACCCTTCCCCTCTCCCCTCTCCCCCGAGGCCCTGGCTGTCACTTCCGCCTCCTGGCCCAGCTGCCCCGCTGTCGCCCTTTGTCCTGCCTCTTGATATTCCCCCCCGAGGCCCCAGACTCTGCCCCATGGTCTGGGCTTCTTCAGCTTTGCATTTTCACCCATTTTCCCACGTGTCACAATAAAAGCCTGGAAGCAGAGCAGCAGAGAGAAAGGTTCTGAGATGGCAAGGAAGGCAGTAAGAGGAATGGGTCACAGCAGTGGGGGTACCTGGCTAAGACGCTTCTGTTACGTGGGTTTTGGGGGGACGGTATGCAAATGCATACGTAAGGAGATAGATAGAATGATACGTATGCCCAGTGCACTTAAACAAGCTTGTTTACAATACAAAATGCTTGCAAATTATTTTTCCCAGTCAAAATCCATGGCTACTTAGAACTGCGCTGGCATTTCGGACAGGTGAGTGGGGCGCGTTTTCTTTGTAGGAAAACTTTCACCATTCTTAAGCTCATCCTATAAGCATGTCCTTCTAAGGTTTCCAGCTATGCTATTCTAGTATTGCCTCTACTTACCTGCCCACATACTTCCTTCCCTCTAGCCCTACTAGATTGTCAGCAAACATCTCTTCTGTTACATCATGCCATTTTATGTCGCAATGCCCCGCAACCCCTCACTTCTCTATCCTATGCCTCTAAAATAATTGCCAGCTGCTTTTCTGATTCTCCACTAGATTGTAAACTCTCTGTCCCTAACAAGGAATCTAGCAGTTAATGGGTTCTTTAAAAGTATTTCTTGCACAGATAAATGAAAGAATTAATGAATGAGTGAAGAGTTATAAAAAGATGACCGTGTATTTCTAAGCTTTGGTTAAGTTTTTAAAAATAAAACTTGTGAACTATTTCACAAAACATTGTGAAAATCACTCCTACAAGTAAATCAGCACACCAAATAACTTGAATCAGTCTAAGGATGTATGTCTTTATTTCCAGAAAATTCTCAGCTTATCATCTCTTATAATGTTTTCTCTCCCCCATTTTAACTACTTTTGCCACCTGGAATATCAATTGTACATGTGTTGGAGTTTCTCAGTCTATCCTCTTCAATTCCATTTTCCTTTTTCTATGTATTCATCCTGTTTTATTGCATTCATGGTGATTTGCTGCATATCAGGATAGGCTGTGCTATGCTGTGCAACAGAGACACTCAGAAGGCAGCACAAAGGTTTATTTTTGCTCATGTCCCGATTTGAGGCAGGAAGGGGAGCTCTGAGACAGGTCTTCACTGAGATATGGCAGAGCATCAACTTGTGGTGCCACCATCAACATGTGGTCTTCATGATCCCCGAGGAAGGAGATGATTATCCAGGGCGTCTTGTGTCCAGGCCTGAAAATGACACTTGACTTTCACGCTCTCTCACATTCCAGCCACATGGTCCTGCTCTCATTTCAAGGGCATCCAGGTTGTGCCAAGGACGGGGAGGTGGAACTGCTGGGTCTCTCTTTTCCAATACACTGTGACTCTCTTTTGCCTTATCTAGTCTAGTATTTATCACATCTACTGCATTTTTTACTCATATTTTTATTTTCAATGATTTTGGCTTATTTTTAAATATGCCTTTTCCCATTGAATAACCTACTGCCATTTTAAGTATACTATTTCCTCATTCGTCTCTGAGGACTCTAAACAGGCTTGTTTTAAACGCTTTGGCCAGTCATACTGTCATTTCTATTTCTTTAGGTGCCATTTGTCCTATTTGTTGCATCTGCCAACCAGCTTTCAATGTGATGGACGTCATTATGTGGACGTAAGTTTTGTCTGAAAGCTGATCACGCACAGGATTTTTTCCCATGCTTGCTCCTCCTTATTGGATGATTTTCTTGGTGCCTCAGCCTCGTGCTCTGAGACGCACAGCCCCGCCCCAGGCTTCATGCAAGGATTTGGGCATTTTGATCCATTTTATGTAGTACAGCCACTTGATCCAGTACTACATGGACCTAATTCCCCCTTTAATACAAGAATCACTGTTTCCTGTCACTCCAAACAGAAGAATGTCATTGGCGCTATCTGAGTCCCAGTCCGCCTTGGCCCGAGGCTTCTGGCCGAGTGGGATGCTGATCCCAGTGCTCACATGCCCCGGGGCACTCTTCTCACTGAATGATTGAAGGCCGGGCCTCCACACCTGTGGATAAAGTGAATGTTCCTGTGGGCAGGATTCTCACCTGGCCCTGGTTGGCTAGCTCACTGCACACGTGTGGGCAATGCGCTGCTATTGACTCTATATAAAGAGCTCCACCCAGTGCTATGGGCAACAGGGGGGCATGACTGTAAGGCTGCAGGAGAGCAGAGCAGAGCAGAGCAGAGCAGAGCAGAGCAGAGGTTGGAGTGGTGGCAGCACCGAGGACAGAGCCAGAGAACGGCTGTGCGGGCAGAGAGGCCCAGAGCACGCAGACTCGCTCTGAGTGGATGGGATTTTAGTGATTGACCTGCCACCATGGAAATAAAGTTGAGTATAACCCTTTTACTCCAATAATGTTTTACTGTCATTTCTTTGGTTACATTGAATCCATAGTGAGCTTGCCTTGGGCTGAAACCCATTGGCTGGCAAGACAACACCTTCTACCTGGCCCCAGCTTTGCTTGCACTGCATGGCTCCAGGGCCTGCCTACCTTTTGTAAAGCTTTCCCCTACCTTTTCAAACAGAATTGAATGTGTCCTTTTCTGTGTTACCAAGCACACATAACGATTATTTGCATATTGCTCTGTCTTCTTAACTAGGCTGCTAGCACTCTGAGGGTAGAGACCGTGCTCTGTTTATCTTGCTGCCGGAGTACCTGGCCCAACAGCTGCAGGTTAGATACTAAATATTGGTGAAATTGAAGTTGAGATGTTTGGAGACCTCTTGAGAAATCCAATTTTTACTGTAAACCAGAAATGAGCCTCCAGTGATAGGCCATGATGTTTGTGGATGATAATTTACAGACAGAACCAAAAAGCATGTATTTGGACTCTGCAAACGACGCCCTGCTCTGCCTGTGTGTATACCAACTTATGCACGGCCTTCTATTTGCTTTCACTTTGCTCCTTTGAAGATATAATTGCTTCTTGGTTCCATATTTCTATTGCTTATTACACTGTTCCATACCATTTCATTCTGAAAATAAAACAAAATAGGATATTTAAAATTAATGATGTGGGGCACAGCTTTTTTTTTCTTTCCCTCTATCTCTAGGCAGAGTTAGCAAATGGCTTGAACGCCAGCCATTCTTTTTATCATCTGGGTTTCATTAGAGTAAGAAGAAACACTCATTAGGAGGGGAAAGGGCCCAGCCCTCCCTCACAAAGGATAAGGATCACTGGATGCTTGTATTCTCCTACCGCTTCCTCCCCCACCTTGGCAGGCTTTTGGTGGCTACTTTTGTTTGAAAGCAAGTTGAAGAGCCATCCTTACTGGGTTTGGAATTGGGGGAGTCCTGCTATATAACTCTGTCCTCATTGGCTTCATTTTCAAAGATTCAGAAAATGAGCTGTTTCTCGGATGACACAAGACACCATGTGGCAAAGCCCTGTATCTTTTGCAATGGTCCCTGTCCCTAAAGAAACCCTAGTTCCGTGGGGTCTAGAGGTCATGTTTCCTAACTTATGACAGTAGTTGAAGGTCTGTCCTGGCCCTCCAGGCGCCGTCACTGGGCTGAAATGGGATTCGCAAAGTCACGCGTGTTGGAGCCGCCCTAGCAGGGGATGGAACTTTTGGTGGGAAGTTGTTACAAAAATAGAAAAAAATATTATCATTGGGTTTTGATTATGAGTTTACATACCAGGCCCTTTCCTTGTTTCATTTGGGTATGTGTGTGTGGGGTGGGGGGGGAGAATATTAAGGATCTGTCTTTTTTCCTAAACTAGGTTCTTCCCTCTTCCCACCCATCTGACTGATACAATCATCTTGTCCTGGGAAAACTTCAGTAGGATAAGGGGAAACAGAGGGAGAGGCTCCCTAAACTCATATGCTTGTGTGTTACAATGTGTGTCAATTATAAACCTGCAATCACTGAAAATACAATTCAAACTGGCTTAAACATTAAAGGGAATTTGTTCACGTGCTTGAAAACACAAGAAATACACACGTCCATTAAGGGTTTGCCTCCGGCCGCATGTGTTTCCTCTAGTGGCCACAAGGTGGCTGCAAGGGGCTGCGAGGACTGAGGACTTCCTTGTTCGCACCCAAAAGAAAAAAACCGGCTCTTGGATGGTTTCTAAGGAACAGTAGAGCTGTTTTCCCCAGAACAGTCCTGGAAACGTGTCTTTGTCTTTGGTCGACCGGAATTAGGTCATCCATCCGTCCCTGAGCCAGTCGGGCCCACTGGCAGCCTCCCCGCAGGCGAAGCCCATACTTGGAACTGTGGCGTCAGCGTCCCCGCGAGCACACGAGCTGCGCGAGGGCCGAGGGGCGTGCAGATGGGGGCCGGGCCCCGGTAGGGTGCGGATGGCCCTGCTCCGAGCCAGCATGTGTCCTCAGGGGGAGAGGCACGTTCGCTTTCCGTCCCTGCCTTGGGGCTCAGTCAGCCCAGAGGCGAGGCCCGAGGAGAGGGGCCCGCAGCAGGCCATCCTCGAGTCCAGCCCGGGGTGCGAGGCCACCAGGCCCGCCTGGCCGGAAGCCCGAGTAGGACGAGCCCTGGCTGGTAACGGCCCGCGTGCCTCGGCCGGAGCCCGTTTGTGTGCGCCCGGAAACCGCACCGGGCAGCAGGGGAGGCGGCTCGCTCGGAGCGTCGTCCGGGAGTCGGGGAGCCAGAATCTGCCACCTTCTCAGTGCGGCGCCGCTGGCTGGGAAGGAGGCGTGGGGAGGCCCCTACCAGGATCCCCAGCTTGGTGGTAACAGCGGCATCATTTAACCTTTCTATTCCTTCACCTCCTGTGAAATGGGGATAACGGGGACATGATGACCTCCGTGTCTATTCTGCGCTCCATAAGGAGGGAATGTTCCTCTTCTTCAACCCACGTGTTGGTCTTGACCATATG